GTAATAGCGCGGTGATATCGGGGTACGGGCCGGGCACGTTCGATAACTCCTTCCCAGCACTCTTCCAACACCATCCGGACATATTCCAAAGCTCGATATCTGCGGCAGTACCAGAGATTCCATCCACATCCAATTCAAAACCACGGTCCAGGTCCAGGTCCAGGTCCAACTCGGTCGGTCGGGACAAAGCATAGGCGGATCACATAACAATTCCCTTTTGGTGAGACTTACCCCTGAAGCACACTGGGCGACAAGCGGAATCTGTTCTCAGGCGGCAATGCTCCCTTTCCACTCGCTGCAAAAAAAGCGTCAAGGACTAACTATCGGAAGGGCCGGCGAAAGTCTCGTCGGTTCGCTGGACGCTGGACGCCGGACACTAGGACACAGCGGATTGTCGGGAGGGAATCAGATGTGACGTGAGGTCTCGGACTAGGACTAGGTCGTGTTTTGGGAGAACTAAGGAGACAACCGCAACTCCTAAGCGCGATACAACAAACGGCAAAAGACACGCGAAGGATGCTGTGTGAAAACCGTATGCAGAGAAAAAACAGAGGTGCACACGGTGTGCGCAGTTGGAGGGGGAGGTGAGGTAATAAAAAAGGGAAGGAAAAGAGCGAGACAAAAATGTGTCTGTCTGTGTGTGGAGTGTCTTGGGAGGTGGAAGGGAAGCGAAAACTGGGAAGGTGCCGACGGTCTAGAGAGAATTTGCCCGGCGTGTGGATTGGCAAGGTGGGGAAGCACAGCCCAAAGCGTCGGCCGACCCAGCACAGACGGGCCCAGGGCAGCAAAGGACCGTGAAGCACAAAAAAATGATTCGCGTCAGCTGTAACCAAGGGCACTGGTATGTAAGGTACTTACCGTGCGGTATTGTACCGTGCATTACTGTAAAAACCTACCGGTACCTATGTAGCATGGTTTGGACAATACAAACACAACAGCGTAACGACGGGAGCGACACAGCAGAGCAACTTTTGAACCCGGTGCTGGGTTCGTTTGTCTGATTGTTGAGCTACGGGCATCCCATGTGCATTACGCGCCAGCGTCCAATTCCTGCCGGCGGATGATCCGGGGATGGGCACGGGAGGGGTGTTGTACTGTACTTATGTATTTAACCATCTTACATACAGTAAGCTCTGTACTACCTTACACGAGCAGCGACAGCTTCATGATCGAGCTCCGCACACCTTACCTTACTGTATAGCATATGATCGCTCAGAATGCAATTGCAGGAGACTGTATGATTGCGTTGATGCCTTGGAGGTTCAGGGGCATATCCGGTGTTGTACTGAACTGTATGTACTGTAGTTTCAATACACCACTACCATAAGGTCCTGTACAAGCTCCCTGCCTGCAATTTAATTGGCACTGCTAAACCGCTTTAAGCTAGGAAAGCATCAACAACACTCTCAAGATCGCTGCGAATTGAACACCAAAATCTTCTCTGAACAGCGATTCAATTGCTAGTTATCCCTCTATCTAGTTCTAGGATTTTATTAAGCATATAGGACATTAATTACAACTTTTTATGGATGCTTTCCTGGCTTGTGAAGGCGAGGACGTTTCTTTGCAGTGCCAATTAAATTGCGGGCAGGGAGACAAGTACCTACAAATACCGTACTTCGCTGCCGGCAGCAGCAATGCACTTGGCGCCGCTCGATTGTCCCACACCCGATTTCAGCGAATACATTACTGTCAGTGGCTGAAAAGAGAAGGAAGCTCTCACAGAGCTTGCAGCGTTGCCAACCAGACCCGTCATGACCTCGTGTCACAACGTCCATACAGGTGGGGTATGACCAGGATTCATGGGTGAAGGCAGGTCGAGGATTGCGCCAGACAAAGAGCAAAAATTCGAACAGAGCGAACCGAGAGCGGACAAAGCCGGGCGACGAAGAGGACAGTGAGGTCAGCGTTTGCTCATAAAGTCAGCAGGGCGTGTGAATAACAAGACCCTCCGAAGACGCTAATTGAATTACGATTGCTTGCATAACTGCCCTGCAAATCAAAACCGCCGCGCGCACTCGGCCTCCAGCCGGACAGGCATCTAGCGTTTGTCCAAGCTACGCCGGAATCCATGCTGAATGCTGATGAAGTCGTTCTCAATAGCGACTCCCTAGTGTAGCCCGCGCATTTAAGTTCTGCTGTATCTGGCATCTTTAGGAGCTCGCTGCTTCATATGCGGGTCCCAGGCAGACATCCATCGTCGCCGACCGCGGAGGTCTTTGCCTTCTTTTTTAGCAGTGTCTGCGCGCCTAGCCTCGGTTGCCGCAACGTGCGCGAGTCAGTTGAAGGAACGCGGCTCCGTGAGGCCGCTCTGCATCCTCCCTGGTGTGTATTTATAAATGTTTCCTGCAGCGGTCCCGTTTGCCTACAGCCTAATGCTGCCCATCGATTCGCCGATCGACCGAGTAGGATGCTGCGCGGTGCAGCTGTACCAAGCTGCAGTCTGCGCCATGCATCTCCGCAACAGGAGGCCCTCGTTACATTGTTGCATATTGGGCTCTGGCTATATCCTGGGGTCATCTTACTGATGCGGTTCATAAGCTGCCTGGCCTCCAAAGTCTAAACTCAGCGATCCGGTCTCCCTGGACATTCAGGTTTGTTGCCAAGTGAGGCGAAACATGTGACTCCGACATACCGGTACTTGAAGCCGTGTAGCTCCGGGCAGGGCGGATATACCATTCGGAGGCAGCCGGCCGGATACATCGGAGAGCCGCCCCTGCTTCCGGGTCGATGGTCCGCCCGCAGCTAGGCTCAACTATGGCATCTGCAAGACGGTATTTACCAGCATAAGCCAAGCATCCCTATCTTCCTCACACCAGTACGGGATCACTTCGGGCGGGATGTTTGACGGCCTTGGCAGCCCCTATGCATTTTGACTGTTAAAGCTCTGCTGGACAAGCGGGCAGCCGTCTCGTAACCTATAGCGTGTTCTTCGTGAAGCTGCCGCCCGATGTCCGAAGCAGGGCCGGGCCTCACCTCGAGGTTACCCACCCTGCGTATCATATCGGCAGGTTGTAAAGGATCGTCGATACCCCTGACCAGTTGCATCCTTGGAGGATAACCGGTTGCTCCTCGCCATGGCTTAAAAGATGATGAGTACGGTGGCAAAAGACATTGAGATAGGCATGTTTACAAGTTGTCCACAGGTGCCAAACTCACCGAGCACTAGGGGCCACGGCTGCCTCTCAATCATTTGGCTGTATCGTCGCAGCTGTGTTCAGGCTCATGTCTTCCTTGGCAGGGGACCTTGTAGCCGTGCCACTTCGTCGACGTTTCTCCATGCCGCACCGCAATTCTGAAATTCTCCTCCACCGCCAGCGATCCCGTCCTCTAACACAACCAGAACGGTATGTTGTCACCATAGTGAGGAAGGAGCCTAACCAAGGCCGAGCTCGTGCTGTTGTCAGCGACAGCCAATGGAGGTGCGTTGCAGCTCATCCGATATCTGCGGTACATGCCGCCTGGATACGTAATCTTTGCGAAGACTAACACGAACACGGGATCATGGGCCGGGTGGCGGGAAGCTTCTGGCGATCGGAACTTTCTCCGGGCGTCTCGATGATTGACTGGGGGTTGAAATACGTTACTTCCTCCTAGGAACGGGAGTTGAGCGGGACAAGTAGCCGCCACTTCCATTTCCACTTCCCCTTCCTCGCTGGGAACAGGGGCGGTCAAGTCCGAACCGACAGCTTGCGGCTAAGCTCCGGAAGGGGCGGCGCAACGGAAGCAAATGAATGAGCTCGTATGCGCCGACTTTGCATATATCGGCGCGCCAACGATCTGTCCTCGTATAGTGAACTTGTATATAGGAGGAGCCTAAGTTGGAACGAACTCCAAAGGCATCGCGGAATATACCAGCGGGAGCTCTGTCTGCAATTAGCCACTGTTTCGAAACGTGGGAGCTAAGGGTTGTAGGCTGATATTTCTAGAAGATCCAACGCCCTAACCGGCTTCCGCTGGTCTCGATAACCCGGTTGAGGCAAACTATCCGTGTTAATCGTTCACACCATTCACACACTTGAGACACAATATTTCCAGACATTCGAATAAACAGCTTCGGCGCGTTTCGTGCTGTATGTACCTACTAGTAGCGCCAATCAGCTAAAGGAAAGGAATGCCATAAAGCACATTGCGCTGGGGTGTGGTGACACCGTGACAGTCGAAGCAGCTACACCATACATGATACAAACATGACACCTGGGAAGCAAGTGAAATCACCAGCCTCTGAAATCCAGGTCCTGGAAACGTGTCAAAGGAAATCGTCTCCAGGACCCGGGCACCTGCTGAAAACCTGCAGCTGTGCGAGCTCTCGCATATGTGGTGCGACGGCACCTGATATATGAACGCGGCCCGATCTCAGCCAGGCACATAGCCTGTCAAGGTGATGTTTGGACTTTGGAGTCACCAGCCGCCCGGATTATGGCCTCGTCCTTTGTACACTGGGATTTGAGGAACAACCACAAATCCAGCTTGCCATATCCAAGGCGGACTTGATCGCAGATGATTGTCGAGAACAAAGCGTAAATTTGCCGTGAGCGCCCAGCATTCTCTCGGCGTACTTACCTAAGGTGTCACGGTTGAAAGAGGTGGGATTTGACCAGAACTTCACTCTCGATGGTCAGGTCAAGGTCGATCAAGGTTCGCGTTAGTTGGGTACAATGAAGCGCAGGTAAATGTACCTTATTCGTGCCTCAGCAATACGACGGGATGTCCACAAACTATCCTCAAGTTCTCTGGCTGCGTTCTCCTCACTAATCACTAATGACCGACCGGGAAAAATCGAGACTCATGCTTCTATTCCAATCTAGTGATGTTGAAGAAGGTTACAAGGTAGGTACGGAGTGCGGATAAGGTAGGCAAGTACGAAGTACGAAGTACCTTGGTCACATCCCGAAGGAGTAAGGACCCTTGGATGGTCTTGGCTTTGCTTAGTAATAAGATGTTAACCTCGACACTCTTTGGCATTTGCGTGTGCCGTGGCCGCCTGCCACATCCACCAACGAGCACTGAGCTGATCACGCAGTGGAAGCGAAGCTCATCAACCCGACCCAGGCATCTGCGATGCGTACTCCTGGTCGAAGCTGCCATCGCCACCTTGATTCTGCATTTGATACTAAATCCTAGCACGGATATCGGTATCTTAGCAAATCAATGCCTTTTATTCTTGATCTATCTCCCATCTTTGCTCTCCACCAGGCTGCGCATCCCATGTCACCTGTGGCTCCCTGCACTTGAACCATAGATCAAAGCATGCGCCGAAACTCATGTGTCTCCTCTGTTGACCATGGCAGTGTCCCCTGAGGTGAAGAAAGAGCTTGAGCTCATCGAGAACGCTGAGTGGCGTATTCTCTCAGCATCCTCCGATGAAGAAAAACTGCAGCGGCTGTTGAACGTTTATCTTGCCCCTATCCTTGTCAAAGCCGCGAGCGAACATGTCTCGGTGCGGAACAAGGTATGATGCGCTTTGCAACCTCGACCGAGTCAGGCGGGCATGAGATCGGATAGGTGCTTACCTTCCTCGCAGGTTATATCAACATGCCAGACCATAAGCAAGCTCATCAAGTCCCCGGGGTGTGTTGCCCCTGCGTTGAGGTTGTGTGTGAAATGGCGTTGCTGACCTTGAGCGAAGCATCGTTCTTCCCGTTGCCGCTCTCCTTGACCAGTTCAAAACCACTCAGTCTCCACTCGTCAGGCATTTCGACATTCTCTACATGCAGCATAGCGTCGGCAAGCTAGATGCAGCCGAGCAGCGTAGCCTTGTACCGAAAGCCCTGTGCGCTATCAGCAATACGCCGGCCGTCTCCGCCAGCCAGTTCTTCAACATCGTCTTGCGCATGCTCCCTGCCCTCAGGATCCCTCAGCGTGGAAGCAAAGAAGATGCTTCGTTTCGAGAAGAACTCGGACTGGCAGACCCAGAGGACGCAAGATTTGTCGCCGAGTGGCTTGGCAAATTGCTGCTTCTACGGACAAACTCGGCCGGCTTCGCTCAGTCTCCAGGTCTGACAGATGCTGATATCACCTTTCTCACACTTGGCAAGCCGGAGACCTGGGATCCATCTGCTGGGGGGCTTATCCTTCCGGAAACACGGATACAGATAGCCAACCTCTTGGCTAGTGGAGCTTTTACCGACGAAGAGAGGTTCATTCCCGCCATTTATGCCGCGTCCAGCCCTGACTACCGGATCTCAGGTGTTGGGGACGACCTACTAAAAAGGAGTTCGGTATCACTTGAGGACGCGAGACTGGTTCAGACGCTGTTTGAAGCGCACTCGAAGCTGCCTGCGCCCTATCGGATTCGCATTTTGGGAATTCTGAGCAAGTCCGAGATAGCGACGACGTTCACCGACGCCGTCCTCGACGCATTTCGACTGAACGTCGTCAGCCAAGCTGACGCAACTGATGCAATGCAGATTGATGGCCAGCCTGCGGCCCCCAAGTCGTCTGGTCTTGAGCTCAACAAGCTACACCGGGCGTTGTTTGAGTTCGTTAACTGGGTCGCCCGGATTGGGCCCAGCAAGACCGACTACAACAAGATAGGGACGCCCTTGGTCGAGTTGCTCAAGGATTTCGTCCAGGGTCAGGGCTGGCCAAAGCCTCGGCGCCAGTCTCTTGACGATAGCACACTCCGGTCAAAGGCCTACGAGACAATCGGTATTCTGGCCAAGGGGACATCCATGACATATAACGACAGACTCTCCTTAGCGGGATGGCTCTTTCGATCTCTCTCAGAAGACCCTACCCCTGACGTTGTTGTCAACATTGACGGGGCACTGTCCAGTCTGACCAGCCTGTTCAAGCCTCCCCATCGTTTCGAGATTAGCACTCAGCTGCAATCGATTCTCCTGACGTACATGACACTAAGCGAGCACGATGGAGAGGCGGTGAGAAGCACCCGGCACGCTGTCGCCAAGTGGGCGAATCAATGTCTCCCGTTTTCCGATGTCCACGCCCGCTGGATTGATATTCTAGCGATTGCAGGCCGCCCAGGCGAGCGCAACGACGTTGTCGAGGAGGGCCAGAAGGGTCTGGACCCGTGGACATATTATGCCAACGATACCGATACCGACACGCGAACCCTCCCAGACTGGCAGGAGATGGTCCATGTCTTCTTCAGGGAGCCCATCATACCACTCAATGCTTCTCGGGATTCGAAGATGGAGATTGACGATCGAGGCATCTTTGCCAACTTTCCGGCCGAGTCGCTCCAAGCCTTACCAGTTGCCATTGACTATTGCAGGCGCATTCTCTTCCTCACCGCCATCCCAGACTTCAAGATCAAGCCAGGTTGGGAACAGCAGTTGACCTCACTAGTGCAATCTGACGTTCAGAGCCGGCAGACTATCCGAGGCTACCTGTCTTCCTTCACCCATAGAGAACAAGCCCTGTCTCACTTGCTTCTTGCCGCTTTCGAGGGAATGACTCGGGCTGATCCCGCCATTGCAGAGCCATGTGCTCAGTCCTTTGTGGATATTGCATCACTAGCGCCAAAAGTGGTACTGGAGCAGCTTGCGAGTCGCCACGGGGAACTGCTGTCCCTGGTCATGTCGAATAAAAAGGAACTCAGAGCTCTGGGATCCAAGGCATTCGGGATCCTCGCAGCTCACCCTTGCAATTCTGCAATGGCAGTCACCGCCGCCAAGGAAAAGTTGGTAGGAGCTACGAAGAACTTTGCAAAGGCAGTGGGGTCCGAACTCAATGCAGCCGAAGGCGCGTTCGTTGCTCTCGCTCACCTTGCCTCCCGGTGCATATACTATTCTTCACCGTCAAGCTCGGACGTCATTGCCGATGCAAGTCAGATCTTCCCGACTCTGGATTCTGCCTCACAAGGCACGATTTCGATTCAGGAGGCACTCTTTGGAGCATATTCTCAACTGTGGACAGCGGCCATTCGGACGATTCCGGAAACCGAAGTCAATGGAAACATCACTGCCTTCCTTTCACGAGCATTTATAGAGCCCTTGGCTGTTCATGTCAAGAAGGGTAACGAGAGAGCGATCACGGCACTTGGAAGACTGGCCATATCACTTCAGGCAACGGATACAGGGGATACCGCCGCCGCAGATGATGCCTTAGACCTGATCTTGGACAAGCTATACTCTCTATACGAGATCAAGCAGCCAGAGGTTCACTTTTCTGTCGGGGAAGCTATCACAGCATCAGTTGCCTGCTGGGAGGCCGAGGTTGTCCAGCTTACCATTGATGTACAGACGGAGATGGGTCCTTGCCGCGTGCCAAGGCGGTCAGCACGCGTCACTGCGGTCTTGGACAAATTGCTGCTTGACTGCAAGACCACTAAGCCGTCGTTGCTCAAAGCGTCCGGAATCTGGCTATTTTGCCTCATCCAGCACTGTTCCCACTTGCAAGAAGTCCAGTCGAGACTGAGGGAATGCCAAGTTGCTTTTATGCGCCTCCTCAGCGCAAGAGACGAGCTTGTCCAGGAGACTGCTTCCCGTGGTCTTGCACTGGTGTACGAAAAGGGTGATTCGGAGCTAAAGAGCGAGCTCGTCCGCGATCTTGTGGCAGCTTTCACAGGTTCTGGGCCACAACTGAAGGTCGATCAAGAGACCGAACTCTTCGATGCCGGTGCTTTACCCACCGGCGAGGGCAAGTCCATCACGTCTTACAAAGATATTGTAAACTTGGCAAACGAAGTTGGCGACCCAAGCCTGGTTTACAAGTTTATGTCGCTTGCTACCAACGCCGTAACATGGTCTACTCGGTCTGCGTTCGGGAGGTTTGGGCTCAGCAATATTCTGTCAGAGTCCGAGGTCGACCCTAAACTGTATCCCAAGCTGTATCGTTACCGGTTCGACCCGAATACGAATGTCCAACGTTCCATGAACGACATCTGGAAGGCGCTGGTAAAGGACTCTAACAAAGTTCTCGAAACGCATTTCGATGCCATCATGAACGACCTGCTGAAGAGTATCCTCGGGAAAGAGTGGCGTGTTCGCGAGGCAAGCTGTGCTGCCATATCCGACCTGATTTCGGGTCGACCGTTCCCTACCTATGAGCGTTACTACAAGGATATCTGGGCTGCCGCCCTGAAAGTGCTTGACGATGTCAAAGCGACAGTTCGAAACGCGGCACTCCACCTTTGTATCTCACTTTCAACGACACTCGTCCGCCAGCTGGAGGAATCCGGCTCTACCACTACAGCCAAAGCCATGATGAACGAAGCACTACCCTTTTTACTCTCGGACAAGGGCATAGAGAGCGGTGTCCAAGACGTCAAGGTATTTGCAACCATTACAGTGATGAAGATCGCCAAAAGCGGCGGCGAATCCCTCAAACCTTACATCCCTAGCCTGATTCCCCATCTTCTCGGCCTCCTGAGCACCATCGAGCCCGAAGCCATCAACTACCACTACCAGCGGGCCGGCGAAGACAACCGCGAGAAGATTGACAAGCTCCGCAGCGCAATGGTCTCTCAAAGCCCCATCGCCGAAGCAATCGAAGACTGCCTTCGCAACGTTGACCAGGCCGTCATGAAAGAGCTCGCCCCCAGACTCCAGGACTCGATCAAGTCCGCCCTGGGGATGCCCACCAAAATTGGATGCGCTCGCGTCCTGTCAACTCTCGCGATCCGTCACGCGCCTGATGTGACGCCTTACTCAACCAGCTTCCTCACCCTCCTCGAGAAACACGCCCTGGACCGCAACAACGAAGCCAGCCTCGCCTACGCGCGCGCAGCCGCCTATCTCATCCGGACCGCCCCGAACGAGGACGCAAAGTTACAATTTGCCAACCGCTTTGTGACCTTGTATCTCACAGCCGAGGACGAAGTCCGCCGGCAAAAGGTTGCCGATGCCGTCCTCGCCCTGTCCAAGCTCTCGCCCGATCACTTCGCCGCGCTCGAGACCCAGCTACTGCCCTTCGCCTTCCTCGCGCTCCAGGACGAAGATGACTACGTGCGCACCGCGCTCTCCGAGGTGTGGGACAAGCACGCCGGCAGCACGGCTCTCACTGTGCTCCGGTACCTGCCCGAAATCATCCATCTCGCCGACCGCTGCCTGAACACGCCGCAGTGGGCCCTCAAGCACGCCGGCGCGCTGGCTGCTGGTGCTGCCGTTGCTGCCGTCGCGGGCGCCGCGGACCTGTCGGGAAATGTAAGCGGGGAGAACCTGCGGGTTGTCTGGCCCGTCTACGACAGGGCGCTGGCGCTCAAGACGTTTGAGGGCAAAGAGCAGCTGCTGGAGCCGCTGCCCGCGTTCGTCAAGGCCACCAGGGCGCTGTGGCAGGCGGACGCCGGGCTCGCCGAGCAACTGCGCAAGGTGGCCCTGCGCGAGGCGAGGCGGAACAATGACGCGTACCGACCGCACGCGTTCCGGTGTCTCTGGCGGGTTGCGAAAGAGAGGGATGACCTGGACCTGCTGGGGGATATTGCGGAGATTGTAACTCCCTTTTTGGCTGTCGAGGGAGACGGTGATGACAAAATGGACGTTGATCGCCCTGCGGGGGGTAAGGGCCGTAGTGCAGGGCTAGATCTCGAGACCAGGACCAGATGGGCTGCCACGGAGGCTTTGACCAAGGGGTACAACCGGGTTCAGATGGCGAAGACTCCGGTGGACGTCTTGAGGCGGGTTGCGCTGGCCCTGGAATCGCCTGCTGATGGTGGTGGTGCGGACAAAGCGCTGGGTGTCCGGTTACCATACATCATGCGGGCTGAGTTTGCGATCATCAGGCGGGCGTACTGGTACGATTGCGTGCGGGAGGTTCTGAGTGACGCGGTTCGAGAGACAGACGCCACCGACGATGAGGAGCGTGCTCCTGATAATGCCCGGGAGGTCGTCGGGTGGTTCCTGTCTACCCTGGACCTGGGCGCGGAAGAAGCTGGAACGGAGGACCAACGTCTTGCCAGAGCAAAGGCAGTCAAAGCTGCCATACTGCTCGGGAAAATGCGGGCTTCTCTTGAGGATAACAGTGAGTGGAGGCAGGATATCAAGAGCGCCGTGGAGAAGGCGTTGGGTAAGGAGAGATCTCTGGATGTGCAGAAGGCTTGGCGGGAGTGTCTGGGTCTTCTGTAGTTGGCAGTAGTTACAATCCCTTGAAGGCTTAGACGGTTTTAAGGGCAGAGGGGGAGAGTGCTCGCATTTTGTTTGAATTATGAGTTGACTCTAGATATATAGAAAGCATGTTACCGCTCATTCAGGACACGCAGGTATTCTATGGTACTGGGCCTTCTATTTCCATCTTTTCAGGGGGCAAGGCCTTGTGTATCAATGTAATTGCTTGAATACTAAGTAATGATCCAGAATTCTGTCAAACAAACGCGGTACATGCACAACAAGTATTCCACATGATATTGCCCTCGACCGTATTGACGGTACTCCGCACCTACCTTAGTTTTTCTGCCAGCTTGATTTTACATTTCCATCTTCTCTCCAGTTTACCTGGCGGTGCTTCGGACGCCACTTACACGACGGGTCAAGTATAACCCCAACCCTAGCGAATTCCACTGGGACACGCTATCGATAACGGTGGGCCGGTGGATGATCCGACGTCTGGCTGAAGTTGCGTCACACTGGCCGCCTGGGGCTTTGATCGCTCTTTTTTGGAACCAGCGATTGTCTCAGCACCTGGTTCACATTCAACCTTTGATTTCTCCAGACCCCGATTTCTGTTCACCTCGCTCTATAATAATCTCAGCATACCAGAGCAAGACGCTCGACACCGTTCCCCCTGTTCATCACACTTGGTCGGTGTCATCCAACGCTTACCATTCTGCGGGGTTTCATGCTCTGAGCCTTATCGCCCTCCCGTCCTTCGCCCAACCCATAAAACCGTGGGCTACTTAGTCGACCTAAGTCCCTCTACGTGGCGGCCCGGGTTCGGTAGCCCAACTTTGCGAAGCAATTGTTCATATACATCGCGCAGGGCCCTTGCCCTCGGGCTCCAAACAGAACACTCTTCTCCGCTTCCTACCGCAGTCGTCGACTTCGCATCTCGCTACAAAAAATGGCCGACGCCGAAGATGTCGAGTCCTTCATGGGGATAACGGGGGCGAGCCAAACGGCTGCCCAACACATGCTGGAGTTGTGTGGTTCGAGTCTTGAGCAAGCAATCCAACTGTGGTACACCGACGAAGATCTCCAGCGCACATTGATGAATGCCACCTCGTCGACAGCCAACCCTGCTGTTCGAGCCGCCAATTCTGCGAGCCGGTCGAGTCGACCCAGCCGCCCCACAACCGGTCGGGAGGACGCACAAGGCGTTATTCACTTAGATTCGGATGATGACATGCCGATGACCGAGGACGAGTACGATGTGGATGATGCTTCGGAGGCTGCCAATATCGCTCGGGCTGCTCAGGAGGAGGAAGATGCCGCGATGGCCAAGCGGCTGCAGGAGGAGCTGTACTCGGGCCAGCCCACCGACGCCGAGGGCGTACGTGCCCCCATGGCCCGCACTACCGAAACTTTGGTTGAACCGGTCTACGGCGCTGCGGATGACGGTGAACACGCTGCCATGCTGGAGTACATGCGTAGGCAACGGCAGCCTCGAGGTGAGTTGGCGATCCACAACCCATACAGGTTTCTCCATGCGTAATTCTGAGCTAACTCGCCCCAAGCAGGCCTTAGCTCCAACCCCTTCGCTCAATCTGTGTGGGACGATGCCAGCGGTCCAGCACGCCGTGCACCACGAGCGGGCTCCCAAACCAGCAGCCGTGCGTCGCGCCTCGCAGAGCTGTTCCGCCCGCCTTACGATCTCATGACCCATCTAACTTGGGACGAGGCTCGCGAAGAGGGCAAGGAGGAGAAAAAGTGGCTTCTCGTGAATGTGCAGGACATGTCCGACTTCAACTGCCAAGCGCTCAACCGTGATATCTGGAAGGACGAAGCAGTGAAGGCGTTGGTCCAAGAGAACTTCATCTTCCTCCAGTACGAAAAGAACGACGCGGCGGCGGAGCAGTACATCACATTTTACTTCCCTAACGAGGCTCACCAGAACCCGAACAACTACCCCCATGTCTCCATTATCGATCCCCGTACTGGCGAGCAGGTCAAGGTATGGAGCGGGATTCCTTTCCCGACCGCCCCGGACTTCCACGCACAGCTCGTCGAATTCCTTGACCGGTACAGCCTAGCAGCACACAGCAAAAACCCCGTCCCAAAGACGAAGCGGCCCGAGCGCACGGTGGATGTGGAGCGCATGACGGAAGAGGAGATGCTCGAGATGGCGCTGCAAAACAGCCTGGAATCGAATGGCGGCCCGAGTCGGTCGAATGTCATCGACCCCGACGAGCTGACCAAGTCGATAGGCGATTTGGCGGCGGCGGCGGACAAGGGCAAGCAGAAGGCGGATGTGCAGCAGGCAGCCCCTGCGACGACGGCCCCTGCGGAAGCGTCTGCATTTGCCAGGATACCCTCGGACAAGCCGCATGTCGAACCCCCAGCCGACCCAAAAACCACGACCAGGCTGCAAGTCAGAAACCCATCTGGGCGGATTATTCGTCGTTTCCGCCTCGACGACCCCGTCTCTCGCATCTACGAATGGCTCAAGGCTGAGCCGCTGCCGGGCAAGGAGGGGGTCGAGTTTGAGCTCAAGGCTATACCCCAGGGAACTGATCTGATTCAGCATCTGCACGAGACAATTCAGGAGGCTGGATTGGCTAACGGGACTGTCATGCTTGAGTTCGTCGAGGACGAGGGCGGCGCGTCTCAATAGGCGTGGAGCTACTGCGGAGTACTTGGGGCTGCCTTTCTCCTGATATTACAATGAGGACCATGAATACATCTGGACAGGGCAGATAATATCGGTGGCTCGGTTTAGCATCTGGTCTGGGTCGAGGGTCGATCAGAAGGGAATGATACGGGGCGTTGGCTGGCTTCTACACATGATGTGGTGGCGCATTTTATTGTCGGTTTATCTTTTCGTCGTTTCTTCCGCCGGATAGATGGCATCATCTAGGAGGAAACTGTGCTTGATGCTCAGGCGGATTTGGGCGACGACCTTGAGCGCTGCAGAGTAGATGGGACGTGCAAGGATGGACTTGGTGCATTCCGCATCTACAGCATACCAACTGGAAGCAAGGGTCTAAGGTCTGGTACTTCAGCTAGCCGGTAAAAGAAAGATAGACTTCCAGAACAGCACTCTTGTTCTTTGCTACAAGGATTCCCATGGCATTAGACGTGATAGTACTGCATCACGGCAAAAATCGCGGCCTAAGAGAGATGGTATTGTACGCTCTGTCATCGATGCCATCGCGGAGCGGGAAGTTCATGGCATAGTAGGCCAGGTAGTACTTGCTGGGTCCTTCCCAACCAAGCTCGCTAGTGCCCGGGAAATACCCACCATACATTGTGGAAGAGAGGTAGGTCCTGGAAGTGAGGAGTAGCAGTCCGCTGATCGAAAGCAACCTGCTGAGATTGGCCAGCTGTTTCAGGAGTGCGTACCTGTGGTTTGCGCGCCCAGGCTATCAAAAGGAAGACCGACGCGTCGGATGCTGAGATGCTGAGATGGTGCTTGAACGGGCGACAGAGCAGGGGACTCTGAGCCTCACCAACCAGCAGAAGGAGATTGTCGAGCCCCTCATTGCCGATGTAGTTGCAAAAGGCGGACGGTGTGAGATATGGTGGACGATATTATCAGCGGCTTCTGCCGCGCTTCCTCCAGTCTGCCGCGGTGGCGGCGTCGTCGGGGTTTTCGAGGTGCCATGGATACTACTAGTATTTGGCGGTAGCGTGAGAGGTTGTACTAGTAGGAGGCGAATGTCGTTCAAGACAACGTCTCTGAACCGCCTGCACACCAGGGCTAAGGTCAAGTGCATGTTGAGACAGACTGTCTTGCCTTCGAGGTCCCAACCGTTTGCTTCTCTCCATCGTGCTCTTGGCTGCTTTGAAGATGCGCAGCAGGATCTTACCATCATCGTCATCACACGATCGGTCGTGTAGAAAGCCTCCTCGACCCCGTTACCGTGGTACCCTTCCTGTTAACAGAGAAGAGATCTGGCATTAAAACTCATCGCTCTATATCCTTCGCTAAGCCAAGTAGCTCATAGTTGATTAAGCTCGTTCTACCGTATCTCGGTAGCGGTGCCAGCTTACCGGCGCTGGTTTTTTGCCCACAACGACGGCGGCGAACACGACTACCTGAGATAAAGCAACCAGATCCCTTTCTTCTCGGAATTGTATAGTATCCAGCACCTCAAGGTCTTGCAGCACGCAACAACTGAAAGATAGGTTCGCTTCAACCTGGATCAACCGCTTTAGTTGTCACCAGCTAACGGGGCCACAGATCGCAAATCGAGGGACTGGCGGCCAACTTGATCGAAGCCCAGAACAGGCAACATATGGATCAGGGCAAACGTACCAAGGTTCCCGACTACTCGGACCGTCGTAAAAGACGGGGCCACTGCAGCGGACCTGCGGGCTGCGAACAGTCCCAGGAGCATGGGGGAAAGCCCAGGTGTGGACAACATTGGTTGGCGGCAGGATTGGCCGTCTTGAACATCAAGCCGGCTTCAACAGGCCTGGTATCCCAAGCCCAATGCCCATCGCTGAAGGATAATCACCGTACCCTTCACTATAGTAGACACACTGAAGCACGGTGTTCGTCAACTACCTGTTAGGGTTGTTGAGTTTGGCATGGCCTGGCTTGAGGTGACGGCGGGCTGCCTCCGGGCAATAGGAAAGGAATAGCAAGCACTATCCGAAGAAAAATGACCTTCAAGCTTCGTTTGCTGACGTCCTGTCGAGTAGATTCTCTTTTATCGACTGGGCAACGATCTATGTAGAGGGCTTCGAGAAAACGTAAAAAAAAAATGTGAAGGACAAGCCCCCCTTTCATCTAATAGTTGGATCAGCCTTTGTATTAATGGGATGAACTTGACGTTGGGGGGTGGGGTGGAAGATTGTAATTCTTAACCGCCAATGTAAACAACTGACTGGCGCCAGCAACGCTGGCAGCCAGGATTCGCAGGCGCCTCCACCGCCCCCGATGGATTGTCGATAGAGGATTTACAGGAATCCCAGAACCTGTTTGACATCACCAAGCGGTCCAATGGACCAAAACTGACCTGGCGCAAAGGGAGAAGCTGGATGAGGCGTGCAAGGAGCTACTGAACGCTCCTTGTTTCCGCCAGTACTTCCTACGACACCTACAGGAGCCCACCGTCGAGGAAGACCCAGTATTGGAGCGCAAGGGTGAGGTTGGCAGGGCGCTGTATAGCATGCCTGCAACCACGAGCTTGGCCGTCTGAAGCCCCTGGCGGCGCGCCCGAAGGCTGGAGAAAAACCGACGGCCGGATCCGTCGCTGCCGCCGCGCTCAGATAGATAACTAGGTGGTGTATCCACTACGCGCAGACTCTCGTCCCTGCAGGTGCTCGCCGTTATGACATCCCCCCGGAGATGTATATGGATCCCAGGATCCAGAGTGCCTTGGCGAGACTATTCAGCAAGATATTATCCGTAGGGTGCAAGAACACTGCAAGAATCCGTCTTCAGTATTTGCCCAACACTCGTGACTCTGCGCCGATATTAGAAAAAGTTGAATCCGAGGCTGACCGTCGCTCAGAAGGAAATCGGTTGCACGGGAGAGGTAAGGATCCAACAGAAAGTGAGTCCTTTGCAGGCAGGTGGTCTAACAGGTCGGCGATGGACATGAAGTTTCCCAAGGCGACCGACAAATCCGCCTAAGCGGCTCATGGCCGGGGAGCTACTTCGTACAGATTGAGATGTTTACCCGCGCGAGCCCCTGTGCATGCCTATGACCGAGACACCTGCGCCAACGTCGTGTCAACCCAGTTCGGGTTTCCCATCCCTGGCATCTTCTGCAGCTGGCAATATTCATGTTTTCCATGCCCATTCCGCGCTTTCCCATCTTCAAGCGGATGGCTACCAGAGCTTATGCTCCTGGTTTCCTTTCTGGTTGGCGAAATGACACTTTGTTCATCGTAAAGCTGTGTATTCAGCAAAACAAGGCAAATCGAGAATGTTGTTGTAGTATTCCGAATCAGGTATGTACAGTACATACGGTTTTCTCGCTCTTGGGAAGACGTCTGGTTCGGCGCTCTGAGGCGGCATCTGATGTTGTGTCCCTGGAGATTCCCGTCCCTGGGTCGATCCGCTAAGATGCCCCGCCGCCCTAAAGGTGGGGCTCAGTCGACCAAGCATGGCTAGGATTACCCCTGACACCGCTGCTGGGGCAGGCGGGAAGCGGGGGAGCAACGCCTGCCTGAAGTAAACACAAGTTCCTTGGCCATTTGGTTGCTCCAGGGTCAGCCCCACGCCGCACTGTCCGGGACTCGACTGGAGCACCCAAACACACCGTGATGCATGTGCAACGAAGACCGCTATCCCGCATATCTTGATTTTCTTTCCGCGGTGTAGAAAAGCTCACGTCTGACAATCTTAAGCCTTCATTTGCTGTGCTGCATTTCCGCATTCTCTGATCTTCGCCTACTGTTTTAGCGCCGAAGGTCAATTGTACTGTACAGAGGTATGAAGGCACATGCCCTCCAACAACGAAACACTTACACCATTTGGCGGCCTGGATTTGCGCGCAGCCAAACCTTATTTACCTTTTGCTTAGCAGGCAGCATATCATACCGTTCATGGCCGACGGACAGCTAACCAAGACCTCTGCAGCGCTTCCTTCCCTGGCTTCGCTCTCCGATCACAGTTAGCCAAATCACAGTCGACCTAACGCTAAATTGCGACTCGCTCGATTGCGCATCTCGAAAGCCAACCAAGCTAACCAAATCTCCAAGCACCCCATCCCGCATCTTATCTCCGCTGCTGTTGCCGTTCGCACGATCAGCGCCTGCCATCTCTATCGGCTACATCGAACGTCCCTGGCAGTATATAAGCTACTTGGGGCACATGAGCCACTTGTCTGCTGCCGGCACCAACAACCTTGTCTCACTTGCCTGGCCGAGAAAGAGATAGACGACATCACCATGGCGGATCGCGAGAACAGGGAATACGACGACGCCGAGGGCTCACCCGATCCGGCGTTGCTGTATACGAAGGAATACTGCATTGGTTGGTTTACCTCGCCCCAGAAACGGTTCCATGCTATGGGAAGACACCGCCAGCTGATAGAAACCCAGGCGGAGGAAGCTTTGGCAAGGTCTACAAAGGGTATTCAGTCCCAACCCGCTCCAATACCCAATCCCTTTGGCTGATAACTGGGTAGGGTGGACAAGCGCACAGGCCAGGCCGTTGCCATCAAAGTGATCGACATAGAGAGTGCTGAAGACGAGGTCGAGGATATCATCCAGGAGATTGCCATCCTCTCCGAACTCCAATCGCCTTATGTCACAAAATACTACGGCTCCTACGCCAAGGGTGCCGAGTTATGGATCGTCATGGAGTTTTGCTCTGGTGGCAGCTGCGCCGACCTGATGAAGCCGGGCTTGATCGGCGAGGAATATATTGCCATCATCGTCCGAGAGCTGTTGCTCGGCCTCGATTATCTGCATTCAGACAAGAAGCTACACCGAGACGTCAAAGGTACGGAGGGCCCCGCGCCCCGCCTGCTGAGCTTTCATCGAGCTCTTGCTAACCTTGCATAGCGGCCAATGTCCTCCTCGCAGCGAATGGCCAGGTGAAGCTGGCTGATTTCGGTGTCTCCGGCCAGCTATCGGCAACCATGACCAAGAAGAATACCTTCGTCGGAACCCCATTCTGGATGGCACCCGAGGTGATCAAGCAGAGCGGCTACGACCACAAGGCAGACATCTGGTCTCTGGGAATAACCGCTTTGGAACTTGCCAATGGCGAGCCTCCGTACGCAGATATTCATCCCATGAAGGTGCTCTTTTTGATCCCCAAGAATCCCCCGCCGAGGCTCGACGGGAACTTTACCAAGGCCTTCAAAGACTTCATCGAGTTGTGTCTGCAGCGCGACCCCAAAGACCGGCCGTCAGCAAAGGAGCTGCTAAAGCACCCTTTTATTAGAAGGGCGAAAAAGACAAGCTATCTGACGGAGCTTATTGAGCGGTATAACCGGTGGGCCGTCACCCATAAGCAGGATGACGAAGAGACCCTAGCCGGGGACGACGAGGATCAATCCGAGAACAAGAATCCCGCTGACGAGGACATGTGGGATTTTGGAACCGTGCGCTTGGTTGGCGACCGCGGCAACATGATTCATAGGCCAGGCTTACTGAACCCCATGGGCGAGTCGGCGACAAACGCTAGGTCGGCCAGGACATCAGAAAGCTCAGACGACTATGGCGAGAGGAGACGGGAGCCAAGCCCAACCAAGTACGCAGCAGATACGCGAGACACTCTCAAAGCGTTTAGCGGGAGTGGCACGACCAGGCAGGTCTCTCCCCAAAGAAAACCGGTTCCGTCTGCATCCGGTGCGCCCCCGTCGCCGAGCAAGGTCCCCTTGCCACCCTCGCCGCAAAAGCAGCCATCAGGGCCCGAAACCCCCCGCGCATCGCTCATGTCGAAGCCCGTACCGCCGGTCCCGGGGGGCAGCTCACCAGACTACGATCGAGTACTGCAGGAACAGCTGCAGCGAGATATGGGCGTGATGAACCTGGGTTCAGCCATTCAGAGAAGCAGCCGGGGGCAACCCGGTCTTTTCCAGCAACAGTCCCAGCCGTCGCCCTTGCACCCGGCATCGTCTTCATCAACCCTAGTCTCGATGAAGATTCCCGAGATACCCCCGTTCCGGGGAGGCTCACAGCCTCCTCCAGGATCTCAGAAGCCCGCAAACCAGCCACAACAGCAGCCCGCATCTCAGCCCACGATGCATAACAACCCCTCCTCTTTCCGGCAGAACATGAACATCCCACCCCTAATTTCCAAGGAACTTCCCCGCCCGGCAGCTAGCGGGCCCGATGCGCCGCCGTCGTCCGCGAACCCACTTTCGTTCCCGACCCCTGCGCCCGCGAACCCGAACGGCGACCTCGACGCTCTCAACGACGTCATATTTCCCGCCCTCGAGGAGGCTCTCAAGCGCAGGCAGATCAACCTGCAACAAGCGTACCGCCCGGACCAACCCGTCACGCCCAAACAGCAGCGCGCCGAGGCCGCCCACGACAAGATCCGCAAGCTTGTGTACAAGCTCGCTCATGTCTGCAAAGAAATCGACCACTTTGATAAATCCGAGCCTGTGGGCATGGGGAAAGATGTGGGGACTTTTCTGGAGGGTTTGTTGGAGGAGATTTTGGTAAGGGTTGAGCCGCTTGATGAGGAGGCTTGATACCCTGTCTTTGGTCGCTCGTTTGAGGTTCCTTTGTTTACGTCTTATACTTGCTTTTATTTGTCGGGTTGGTCCGGAAAGAGGGTCTGTGATGGTGCGTTCTGTTGCAACACCAGAGTGAAAGGGGCCGAAAGAGGTTGAGGCTGAGTGAGGCAGGAGAGATACCCAGAGGCAGAGAAGTTGGAGTGTTTTCAGGGTTGCGTCGAGTATTGGCTTTGGCCGTTTGATATGTGTTTTATGAGCACGGTCACTTGTTTGTCTTGTACTTTTTAGTCGGTCCGTCGGCTTTTGCTTCGTTTGGGGTCTAAGCTATGACGAGGGTATACATGTGCCAACTCGGGATATGCCCTTGTACCGTCTGTGTATGTTGTGGTTTGTTGTTCATGAGCACGTGGGAATGGGCAGGGAGTGTTGGGATGTGGAATGTCACTCCTGAGGTTCGCATCGCAGGGCGGTTTGTTGCTGTTCTCACCTGTTGTGTGTACGTCTGCCTGTCCTGTCGCGCAGATTTTCTTGAGGAGACAGGATGCCTTGTTCAACGCTACATATTGGCTTACGGAAGGAACACAACTGACAAGGGCGGATAATCGAGAACTCGAGCACTCGGACGCCACGATGGAGATACATTCAGCACCTTAGGATGGTACGTCTAGAAGAGACATCGACAGGCAATTCCTAGCACATGCTGTACCTCTCCCCCTTTCAATACCCTCTCTGACTTACAGTTGATCCATCAGCTTCGAGGCAACATAGTCGGTGTTGATTCCCCAGGTGGAAGCCGTGCTTTGCAGATACAGCACCCCGTCCTCAACAACCACCTCGCAGTACGACTCGTACCGGAGCTTGTCAACGATACGGAACGCGTACTCGTTTGTGCTGACGGCCTCGAGCAGGCCCTCGCGCACCATGTCGTCCTCGCCCACCTTGATGTACTTCATCTGAAACGCCAGCGCGTCGAAATAGCGGTACATGGACTCGCCAAAGTTCTTCTCCCAATCACTTGGCGCGTTGCTGCCGGCGGCCCTGAGTTTGGCAAAGGTGTCGGCAAAGTTTGGGTTCAGCGTGACCTGCTCCTCGGGCTTGCCCAGCAGCGTCGCGATGGTCCTGCGCACGTCGTCGATTTTGGCGTCGTACTCGAGCCGGATGTTGATGCGCGCCAGGAAGCTCAGGGGGTTGGATTTGTCAGCGGTCGGGCCTGGTGGCGCGGCGTTGAGGGCCGGGATCAGGACCGAGTCCTGCAGGCAGTAGTCCATGTTGGTGCCGAGGTAGCCCTCGACGAAGAGGATGCGCAGCTTGCCGTCGTCTGTGACGTCGCACCCGCCGTATGAGAAGCGCGGCGGGTCGGAATCTTCCAGGTCGAGCGTCAGCACGTGCGCGTGGCAGATGGCGTTGAGCTCGTTGTTGAAGTCGGCGAGGCTGAGCTTGCCGCCGACGTATTTTAGTTGGAAAATGGCGCCCTCGATGTAGCTGTGGGCTGATTAGTCTTCTGATATGGGGAGATATAAGTACTAACTTGAAGGTATGTAGCTAGGTGCTCGTACCTCTTGATACAGCTTCCGAGCGAGTCCTTGGCGTACCCATCTCCATGATAGGGCCAGATGCTGTTTGGGTTGATGTCGATGGTCCAGGGAGTGCCCAAGACTTCGGAGAGCTGTCTCTCCAGGTCGGCCTTATTGTTCTCCCATTCATCGCGGACTGAGAACAGTTGTTAGTATGCTCAAGCACGGATGGAGTGGTCTTGGTATCTTTCTTACCATTCTTGCGCACGGCAAGTGGGAGCTTGTCAGCAGGCGGGAGACGGCCCATGGTGCTAAGATGGATAGTCTTTGACGTATTAATTGGAATTGACGACGCCAGTGTTGACGACAGGAATGCCACAGTCTCATCTCAGCGAAGCAGAGTTTGACCTCATTTATACTCAAAACTCTTCCCATAAAAAGCACTAGACCCCCCATGCCCAGCCATTCAGGAGCATCTGTCAAACTGCCTGACCACGGGGCTGAAGTGAAGCCACACTAGGCATGTACGATTCGGGATGCCTTTCTAGACCCTGTAGCTTAAGCACAGACTCCGGTAGGTCGTGAGTCCAATGCCGGCGCCTTCGCACTGGTAGTCATGATGGGAAATCTCAGGCAGATGCTAGGATCAGGGGGAGAGTCACACAACGACCTGTGATCCATGGTCCTTGCTGCAGGAGGCACACCACAAGGAAAGATTCTCACCGCTGTGGTGGTGAAAATGAGGAGGTTGAGCCGGCGGTCTAATCTAAGGAGGGGTTGGAGAGGCTTGGAGCACCGTGCAGGGGGTGCTTTGATGCGGCATGCACTGAAATCGAGAGAGATGGTGTGGCAGCGAGGGTTTCTTGCTTTGTGGTTACTGTACTTGTACAACAAAATAGATGACGGTCCGATGAGGGGTGATGAATGTGTGGAACGGGACACGGGAAGTCCTCAACCCGCTGCAGTCCAACGGCGACGAGCTCAGCTTCTCAATGAGGTTTGTCCCCGCCATCGCCAAAACTGTGGCTTGCAGAAGGACCTGCTGGGCGTCGCCAAGACAAACCCCGGCATTCAGCTCTGCGTTTTGGGAGCATGTTTATGTCTTTCAGGGGGTTACTGCATCTGGGGTGGTCAAGACAAGCTGCCTCCGTTGATGAGGGCCGAGATGGCTTTAAAATGGCCATGGATTCACGACCAGCCGATGGATGGCATGAGAGATGGATATTCTGACAAACTGAGTCCACCGATTCTCTCGCTCTCGAGTTTGTAAACCTGCAATAACCCAGCAACTCAAGTACTCAACCATGCCCTCACTGTATGCACCCTTCTAACCTTCCTTGTGCACATGGCTAACCCAGACACCAACAGACCACTCAAAGTCCAAGTCGGCATCCGCGACCACTGGGTCAAAGAGGATGGCCCGCTTCAGAAAGCCATTAAGGACCTAGAGGCTCTCCTCGGACACGACGTCGTCGTAGAGCCGGAATGGAACCTCCTCATCGCCGAGCTGGACGACTTCTACGAAGACAAGGGCAACCTTGTCGCCGTCATCGCCGACTGTGTCCAGGTCTGGATCAAGAGCATGATGGAACTGCTGGAAGATCCGGCGAACGAGTCATGGACAGACACTGTTCTTGAAAAGGTCCCCGTGCGCTTGCGGGTGATTGTCGAGGTTGCGCCCTCAGACAAGGCCTCGTCGTCGTGGTCGGAGCAGCGTAGTGCCTTCGTCGTCAGTCTCCCCAAGAAGCAGGTCTACCGCGCAGCGGCATTGTTTCCCACTTTCCGCGGCGACCTTCTTGCTTGCTTCGACTCCAACAAGAAGCCTCAACTGCCAGACAAGACCGCGGGAGCCGCGGATGACTGGGCTGGCGTAGAAGTCGACGGCGAGACCGGCAAGCCGTTGGTGGTTGACCACCCCAAGAGTGCGCGACCAGCGGCGCGGCCCAAGACCGAGTTTCTCCCCAGCGTGGCGTCCATGCCCCGGCCTGATCTGCTCCTGACTCAACCGCCCTACCACCTCACCATGCACGAAGGAAACAGACACATTGAGCTTCAATGCAGCCACAGTCCATCCCTGCAGTTCCTTTCCGATTATCTGAAGCGGTGGTGCCGCATCAACCACCATGATACGTCCAATGTAAAGAGTCCCCGACTCCCTGTTGATGATCCAGAGCCAGCCTCGGGCACATGCTGACCGTAATCCGTCAAGCCGCCTGCAGTCCAGATCATACTTCACCAATCGGCGTTTGGAATGGGCGAGATGTTTGATCGGCTGGTCCTTAGCACCCAAGAGACCAGATACACAAGTCAATTCCAGGTCACAGCTCCCATGTTGGTGGCCCTCATTGAGGGCACCCTGGGATATGACCTCGTGTCGACTTATAGCGGGTGGACTTTTCGAAGGGATACCGAGTTCAAGACCCTGTGATGCCAATATTTGCTTCTTCTGAGCTTCTGTTGGGACTTGGATCTCTGAGTTCCCTGAGTTTTTGTCTGGAAAAGGGGGAGGTTTGCAAGTTTCTTCTTCTTAGGTGGGCAGTTTGGATCCGCTGTCATCAATTCAGATAGCCTGCCCGGCTAGCTCAATCGGTAGAGCGTGAGACTCTTATGGGTTCTCCGTAATCTCAAGGTTGTGGGTTCGACCCCCACGTCGGGCTCAATTCCCGTCGCGACTTGATTTTTTTGCTCGTCATTTATTCCCCTCGGGTATCGCTAATAAATACGCCCCCTTCTATGTCATATCCTTTGCGCAAAGGAGCTGCGTATCTAGGCTTCTCCGACCCAGCGAGTGTAGATCTTCGCTTCCCAAGGAAATAAGGGTTCGCGCCCAAACCACTCTGCCGGAACGTCTCTGCCTTGCGATATCTCTCGCCAACCGCTCTCGCCCTTGCCGGGCCAGTTGGGGATCACATATTCCGAACCAGACGTACTCTCATTACTAAAATTCGCAACAATAAGCACCGGTTGCTTGCCGTCACCAACCTTGCCTCTCCGCCAGGCCATGATCTTTCCCCCGCGAGCCTCGCTGACATGGAAAAAATCGGTCTCGTTCTCGCCCAGAGCAGGGCACACTGTCCGAAACTTTACCAGGTTCGCCACATATCGAAACAACTCTTGGCGCCACCCTCCTTCATCCTTCCGGGCATAATTGACCGGATCGGTCTGCTTTTTGCCCATGTCGACGCTGCGATCCATCTGGTCGGCAAATTCCTCGCCTGCAAAGATCATCGGAATTCCCACACTAGTCAGCAGCAGCGCAAACGCCAGTTTAGCCCTCCTTTCAATGTCCGATATGCCGTTGTTGACCAAGAAGTTGTACAGCCGTTCTTTGCGGAGTCCCTCTATATCGTGCGACGTGATGTAGTTGACTGCTTGAATACCCTCCCTAAAGCTTGCGCCGTTGATGTCGTCCAGCCTGCAGTCCACGAGCTTGCGGACAGTCCACTCGAAATTGTCCCCGCTTGCCGACTCGCCCAAGATGACTGCCCGCAATCTGCCTTGCCAATGCTCGTTCCACAAAGCGTCAAGGGCACCTTGGTGGATGACGGACACTGGCATAGAAAGCTCTTCGCCAATAACCAGAAACTTCGTCGGGTCAGCCGAGGGGCCGTATCTTGCGTTGTAAAGCTCCCAAGCACGATCCCTGTAGGAACGCACAAAGTCATAGTTGGCAATGTTGTTCACGCTGTCGATCCGTAATCCGCCGACCCCGAAGTCCTGCATCCACCGTGCAAGGTGTGAGCGGTGGAATGTCCATGAGGGGCGTACCTCTACCGTGCCCTGTCCCGTCTCCGGGTCGTAAGAAGGAGTGGTGCGGATATATCGCCATAGGTTCCCTCCATAGCCATCTCTCAGCTCCCTGTTCCTATGGGACTGATAACTATCCGGGTTATTTGGTTCCAGAGAAGCCCTCAGGTGGAAGGTATCCCAGTCGATGTAGCTGTACGAATCGTGCCCAAACGCCATGACCACGTCGGTAAAGAGGCGGACATGCTGGGAGTGGATCGTACCGACAAGACGACTTAAATCAGACGATGAACCAAGATCGTAGTCGGTTGCAAAGTAATGAGCTGTTGCGTAGCCCCATTCGCCCTTGGCCTTTGCGTCTGCGACGGGCAGGAGCTCAAGCGCATTGATGCCCAGGTCACTTAGGATGGCCTGCTCACGAACGGCAGATATAGATGCGAAGCGACTGCCATTGACCGCTGGGTCGAAAAGAGCTAAAACATCGGCAAACGTTCCGGCATCTACCTCAATCCCGCGGGAGTCGTTGCCGGCCCTAGCCCAGGAGGTAGGAAGCTCATAGATGACAAGATTATGATTCCTGGGAAGTGCAGCTAGGTCAGGAGTGGGAGGCAGCTGAGGCTCGGTGCCGTCGATATCACAGGGCCAAAGCTTGTCATCGTGGTATTTGATAACCGAGGCGGGCTGATATAGTGCACTGTCGTTGGCAGTCGTGGCCACGCTGTAATCGACGGTGAAAGCAAATGGGTCTGTCACCAACATCACGCCCCTTTTCTCGAGGGACGTGTCCGAGATCTCGAACCAGTAGCGGTAGACTTGCCCGTCCTGGAGAGGCGGCGAGATAGAGCCAGGACTGAGCGCCCACAAAGACGTCTTGCCCTGGAAAGGTGCAAGTGGTGCTCTGGCAGTCTGATCAAAGGCGTCGCCGTCTTTGACACCGATGACAAGATTGGGTGGAGAGGAGGTTCCGCCAGGTAGCCACAAGACGAAATTGTCAAGGCGTAGGTTGAGAATGTCGACGGGGTACATCGCGAGGATCTGATCGTTCAATCAATGGAGCAGCAAGTGTTGACAGGGCGATGACAATGCAGTGGTATCATGCCATGCATCCGGTGCCGATTGATAGCTGGGTTTATATGGCTGGGAACTGGGAGGGATCTAACATCCCTGAAATCCCTCAGGAAAGCGCCATCGCTGACGCCGTGCGAGGCAAGTCCTCGGAACTAGTCAGGGCTGAGTCAAGTGCTCCCCAACTGGCCCCATGCGGTGAGACAGCTGGAAAGAACAGTCGGTGACAGGCCATCGTGATATCTATCGACTATCACATGCTGCCCATGCCTCCGCGGGATGTAATACGCGCTCTGAATAACTTGCTGGTGACAAGCCATGATAAATGCTCCAGGAGCCATCGCATCGTTGGGCGTTTCCATTAAGATGCGCAACTTCAGTCGTGAAGTTGGACCGAGCCTCGAGAGTTCTGGTGTCTTGGTGAGATGTTGCTTATCCTCTTCTTATCCAAGTTGGCTTCACTCAACTGATAAGAAGAAAATGGCGTTAGAAAATGCCAGCGGCTTTTGCAGACGTCACAGGTGGGACAAGCTGCGCTAGCCCTTCCAGGCCTAGCGCGGGCTTTGCGTCGCTTTAGAGTGACCCACTCTTCCGGGTCGATGGAGACTGAAAAGAACTCGGCCAACAAGGCAGTGGGCAGGCACTGAGAAGACTGCTTCTGTTTTTTGCGGCATTTGCTCTTCGGTCCTCTTCTTGCCTTGCAACACTTTGCTTCTTCACAGGTTCAACACATAAGAGCACGCTCGTGTAATCACGCCAATTGCCATGTTCAGGACCCAATCTCCCAAGATGTTGTCGAGGAACTCTGCACGCGCTGCCCAGGTAGGTGCTCATCCTATTTTTGCCTCCCCTCGTTGCTCTGTCGCATGCCGGATCCCGCCAGTGCTTGTTGGGTTATTTCTCTAACTTTCCTTCACAGCGCATGCTCAGGGCGGCCGCTCAGCCCTCACAGCGCTTGAACTTGGCCCGTGGTTTCGCCAGCGTCAGCGATGCTCCGTCCCAGACCGTTCAATCCGATATCTTCAAGCCTACAAAGTACGGCGGCAAGTACACGGTGACGCTCATTCCCGGAGATGGTATCGGCGCCGAGGTTGCCGAGAGCGTGAAGACCATTTTCAAGGCCGACAATGTGCCCATCACATGGGAGCAGATCGAGGTATCCGGTCTGTCAGACGCAACGCCGGCTGGCCGCACAGAGGAGGCGTTCCAAGAGGCCGTCGCATCTCTTAGGCGAAACAAGCTCGGCCTCAAGGGCATTCTGCACACGCCTATTAGCCGGTCCGGCCACCAGAGCTTCAACGTGGCCATGCGCCAGGAGCTCGACATCTACGCCTCCATCTCCCTGGTCAAGAACATCCCCGGCCTCAAGACACGCCACCAGAACGTCGATCTGTGCATCATCCGCGAGAACACCGAGGGTGAATACAGCGGTCTCGAGCACCAGAGCGTCCCCGGCGTCGTCGAGTCGCTCAAGATCATCACGCGGACCAAGTCTGAGCGCATCGCCAAGTTTGCCTTCAGCTTCGCCCTCGCCAACAACCGCAAGAAGGTTACTTGCATCCACAAGGCCAACATCATGAAGCTGGCCGACGGCCTCTTCCGCGACACTTTCAATAGGCTGGGCAAGGACTATCCCCAGCTCCAATGCAACGACATGATTGTCGACAACGCCTCGATGCAGTGCGTCAGCAGGCCGCAGCAGTTCGACGTCATGGTCATGCCCAACCTGTACGGCGGTATCCTGTCCAACATTGCTGCCGCACTTGTCGGCGGCCCGGGTGTTGTCCCCGGTTGCAACATGGGCCGTGATGTCGCCGTCTTCGAGCCCGGTTGCAGACACGTCGGTCTCGACATCAAGGGCAAGGACCAGGCCAACCCTACCGCCCTCCTTCTCAGCGGCACCATGCTGCTCCGCCACCTCGGCCTGGATGACCATGCCAACCGCATTTCCAACGCAGTCTACGATGTCATTGCCCAAGGGTAAGTTCCAGCGGCCATGCTAGTCATAAGCCTCATGTGCTAACAGCCCTCACAGCAAGGTCCGGACCCGCGACATGGGCGGCGAGGCCACCAACAACGAGTTCACCCGGGCAATCCTCGAGGCTATGGAGAAGGCGCTCTAAAATGGATTCAAACTATTATCAAGTGGGGGCCCTTGATCTAGGCGCGGCATGTACATCATCCAACTTATCCGCGCTCTCGCGGGCATGACACATCTCATTGCCCATATAGAATGCCAGATGGCTGGCCGGCAGCATAGACTGGATAGGCACAGAGCAAGGGGAGGCATGCTGTGGACTTGTATACTGTATGTGGTAGATGTGGCCGGCAGGCGTGCATTCGTCTTTCTTTTGTGCTGTTCCATGTTAATGATATGAAATGTAGCGGAATTGTTGTTTTCAACCGCCTCTTGATCCGTGCCTTAACTTGCAAACGACCCAACTACACACCGCAAGTATTGCAGTCCTTAGACTCCCAAATTCATCGGATGGAGGAAGTCTGGGTGGTGTGGCATGGTCCTGTATGAGCGGCCCATTTCGGTCTACCTCGGAGTCAATTGCGGAGGAACGACGGAGCTATCGGCGACAAGTGGGCCCCAGATACCTCGGTGGAGCCCAACCACACGGGGTTCAAGCCTTCAAGGTCAAAGAATTTTGGGAAAGCATTTCGAATATTTTGTAGCCAGAGACGCCAGACGAGATTGGCTTCAGCCTTGAACAACATCTGGATACTAGAAGGGGCAAGATCAGGGATGGAACTGCTGAATGCTCTTCGAATCGATGCTACCTGTTTAACATTAGGTACCTCCTCCCCGTTAGGCAGTCAACCCGGCCGTTGGGCAAGTCCTCCATGCCAAGTTGCTCCCGTCCTTCGATTTTCGTACTGTAACCAAACTCGCGACCTCACAACGGCAGCCATCTAGACGACTAGTACTAGTAGGGTCTTTGCGACATCCTTTGGCCATGTTCAGTGTCTTAGTCAGGAGAGAAATCAAAAGGATAGCTGGAGGCGCACCTGTGATTAAGGCTGGATCCGCCCCAGCCGTCTCTTTACTCATTCCAGAACCGACCCCGTCTGCACTAGAGAAGTTCGCGAGTCTCGCGCGCAAATATTGGGCCCTTGTGCTCCTCGCCATCCTTACCCCCGGCGGCCTTGCAACGGCGTGCGCAAAGACCAATCCGATTGCCGTGTTCTTCATCAATTTTGTGGCTATCATCCCATCTGCGCACCTAAATTCGCAAGCGCTGCATCGTATCCGTGCTCTGCTGGGAGATATCAAGGGTGCTCTGATCTATATGACCTTCAGGTACCTACCTACTTACGTTGAGTAGTAGCCATTTATTTTTGTTCATGATGCCTGACTTAGGCTGGCAGTAACCTTGTTCTGCTCATCACTCCATCCTTCTCCTGCGCAGCGGCCAGGTTGAGACGCTCAAGACATCTTTGCTGGGTGGTGTTGTATCCATCCTGCTTCTGGTTACGGGAATGAGCTATGTGTTGGGTGGCTACTACCACATGCGTGACGCTAATGGTGACGGCATGGAGCAATATGTTAGTAGCTCAAGCGACAGCCTCTTCGATGGGCGACCTTCTGACTCTGACCTCGACGAGCCTACTGATCCCGACGGCGTCGTCCATCCTGTCGAATGCGTCTGCCGGAACCATCGCGATGCAATCGCGCGGTTCCTCCATCATGCTCATTTTGCTCTACTGTGGCTGGCTGGTCTTTCAGCTCAAGACACACAAGAAGCTCTTCGAACCGGAGGGGGTTCAATACGCGCACCAGCGGGATCAGGAGCAGCGACCGAAGAAGGGTGCGTTATGGCTGCTTGTTGTGAGCTTTGCCGTCACGTCAGCGATTATCGGCGTCCACACAACCTTTGCCGTGGACAACATTGATGCTGTCATCGAGAGTACATCCATCCCGAAATCCTTCATTGGGTTCGTCATGTTGCCGATCCTGAATAACGACCTGACGGCGATATCTTATGCCATTCTAAACAACATGGATTTTGCCGTTCATTCTTCTATCGGGAGGAGCTTGCAGATTACACTGCTGTTCACAGAGGGACTGGTTTTGATCGCATGGCCGCTTGGAATCGTCGACATGAACCTATTGTTCGACACATATCAGGTGTTTGTGCTGTTCCTGTCCACCTTGACCGTAAGCTACATGGCCGGAACTGGTGGAAGGACAAACTGGTATTTATTTCACCTCCCCAAGCAGTTCCTTTCGTAACCTTTGCTTAGAGACCATGATTATTGATGGCTTTCAGGTATAAGGGCGCCGTACTCGTGACAACGTATGTCATTGTTGCGCTTGGATCCTGGACGCCAGAAATTGCATAGCCATGAGCGATACGAACTACACGCATTCAAAAGCCACGTTATATAGCTACATACTCGTCACGCCGCGGTAAGAACGCAATGTCAATCAGAATTCCTAATGTGTGAGTTCCAGGTCTCGGCCAAACCAAGAGTAGGACTTCAGAGAGGGACCTGAGGTGCAAATTGCTAGGTCGTACTTTACATCTTACACCAGGTTCTTGGGTAAATGTGTAGGGCAGAACAGGGCTACAGGCTATCTTATGCTGGCACAAAATCTTGAACGGTAAATGAGACACATACCAGCTTCATAGCTTAGTGGTTAGACACCTATAGCACTGTATTGGCATTTGAAGCTACTACCACTACTACTCCAAGTATAGACCCCTTGTTCAAACTCAGGAGCCCATACTACCTACATAGCATTTTGACTGAACGTTGAACGTTAGGTAACCAGAGTACACTACCTTTACTTTAGCCATTGTCTCCCTTCACACACAAATATGTTAAAATGTGAAGAGAATTTACTAAAGAGCCAAATGTACGTCCAGGAGTCTGGGACCTACCTAGGAGGTAGGAGAGCCCTTGAACCAGCAAAGTGATTCAGTCAAAGACCGCTGCAATGACAACCTAGTCTCAAGTCACACAACATCTGTGTCAGAAAGAAAGGGTCCTTCCTAATCGAGTCTGTGTGCTGAGTGCTCCTACTAAGCATTAATTCTGCGGTTGTTGGGTTCATGCTCAATGTTGTTGGAAATGCAGCCTACAGAGATGGGACTTCGTGCAACCACAGACATGGATTTCAAATTGCTATCTGTACCCTATTGAGGCTTATTCCCCTGGAACACACGAATACCTGTGCTCATTGCCGGATACGGCGGACAAGATGCGAACTGCAGCGAGGGATCCGAGTTCATGACCATGTTCGTCGGCACGCCGCCGCGCGGACATCGGTCAGACTCAGAATCCAGACCGCTACCCTGACCGAATCGATGCTAATGAAGTGCTAATGTCGACTGCATGCATGTGCATGAGGGGTTCCCGAGGACCTAGCTCTCAGTGGTTGCATCCGCTTTCTAACAGCAGCATCTTGCAGTAGGGCTGCAGGAGGGTCTACACCATCAATGTCCGCCCTGAGTCCCTGGATGGAAGGCTGTTGCTTCCGCTAGTGATTGTCTACATACAGCTCTCCATGGCGGTCTTAGGCTAGCGCTAGGCTGTTGAAGAGGGGATTAAGTGGTTAACACTACGCCAAATATGCAGGCCATCGACACTCTACCAACTACAGTCAAGCCCAACTCAAGCAGTCGGGCTAAGCCGTGGGGAGGTTTCCAAATCAGGACAACTCAAGGGGGATTTAACCGGGTTCTTGCGCTGACAGCTGAGGCGTTGGACGATCGAGGCTTTAAGCCAATGGTTTGAGCTAGAAACCACATATGTAGTGTAGTACACACATAAACACGCAACCAACACACCCTCCAACCACTCAACCGCACTCAACTCAGCACGCCCGCTGATGGCCCGTCTGGCCCTGCGCCTCAACGTGAGGGGTAGGGGCGGGAGGGGTCGAAGTGCGAAGCAGGCCCCGAGTTGACCGGTGGACCAAAGTATAAAACTTCCTGAGTCGGTCATTGGCATTGTCTTGAGCCTTCAGTTGCGGAGAGTATGTGAACAAAATCCAGTATCAGCATACCAAACCATCCAAAAGACCCAAGAACTCTATCAGCAGAGAAACTGAGAGAGCAGCCATGAGCGGTAACATTGCTGTCACCGGGGTCTCTACCTCTCCCGGCCCCAATGGTAAGGCTTTCTCGTCGCGTTCAGTGCGCTGCTGGAGTGTAAGACTGAGGCATCAGCCTTGTCTGCCTTTACCGAGTCTTCCCGAACCATCCGGCGTCGCTCCTTTGGATACCATGACTGACACAGTACAGGATCCGTCCCCGTCCGTCGGGAGCTTCGCGATCTAGAGCGAAACTACCCCGACCAGTTCAACCTCTACATCCTCGGTCTCAAGAATCTCGAGGGACAGGACCAGTCCAGACTGACCTCGTACTACCAGATAGCTGGCATCCATGGCATGCCCTACAAGCCCTGGAACGGCGTCGGCAGTCAGACCAACTGGCAGTCGACCAGCGGATTTGGAGGGTACTGCACCCACTCGTCCATCTTGTTCCTGACTTGGCATCGTCCATACCTCGCTCTCTACGAGGCATGTTTCCCTCAAACCGTTCCACGGCTCATTCTGGGACGTGAAAGACTGACCAAACCCTGCAGCAATCGCTTTATAACGCCGTTCAAGAAGTTGCGAGGCAATTCCCAGCCGGTGCCCTTCGTGACAGATACGTTGCGGCGGCCAGAGACTTTCGAGCTCCCTACTTCGACTGGGCAAGCCAGCCGCCTCGGGGAGCATCAGCGTTTCCAAGCCTCTTCACATCGCCCAACATACAGGTAATCGACGTGGATGGCAGGACCAAATCCACTAGCAACCCACTGTACCGATTCGACTTCCGCCCGGCAAATGTCCCTCCCGGAGATCTTCAGCAGGTATGCCGCCTTTGACGTCGACCACCTATCCATTTTCCGAGTGCTAACATCGTAACCAGTGGAGCCGCTACCAAGCCACTGTCCGATACCCGAACAGCCGGGGCCAGTCCCAAGACGCGCGCGTCGCCCCCATCCTTGCCAACGAACTGGCCTCGCTGCGCAGCAACGTCGGCCTCCTGCTGCTGTCTTACACCAACTTCGACGCCTTCAGCTACAACAGGTGGGATCCCAACACGCGGCCGGGCGAGTTCGGCAGTCTGGAGGACGTGCATAATGAGATCCACGACCGGACCGGTGGCGGCGGCCATTTCTCGTCTCTCGAGGTCTCGTCGTTTGATCCCTTCTTCTGGCTGCACCACATGTGAGTTCTTCTCCAGCTTTGCCGCTTCGGAAAGAAGAACAAAAAAAATAGATTCGCTAACGCTTGCTTCTGCCAGCAACGTGGACCGCCTCTGGGCCATCTGGCAAGAGCTGCACCCAGACAGCTACATGTCGCCGCGTCCGGCGCCTTACTCGACGTTCAACTCAACCGGGGGCGAAATGCAGACGGCGAACACGCCCCTGACCCCCTTCTGGGACGCGTCCGGCACCAAGTTCTGGACGTCGGCGCAGATCCGGGACACGACCACGTTCGGGTATGCGTACCCGGAGACGCAGCAGTGGCGGTACCCTGATTATCCAACATACCAGGCCGCGATCCGCCGCGCCGTCACCGCCCTGTACGGCACCAACGTGTTTGCCAACTTCGTCGCCAACGTCGAGAGCCGGCGCGAGGAGCACGCCTTTGCCATGAGCTCGTTGGTGGCGGCGCTAGACGGGGAAAAAGAGGCTAACGGAGCGCCGGTTGAGCCCGAGAAGGCAACCGTGCCCGAGAACGGCCAGGCGGCCGAGGACGCCCAGAAACCCCTTGCAGCCTCTGCCGCCGCCGCCGCCGCTCCTCCCGCTATTGCGGCAGCAGGAGCAGCAGCAGCAGCCACCCCAACCGCCGTCGATTCCTCCACACAGACCGACCCAATCCCTGCCTCGCTCAAGCACCTAGCCCCCTCCAACAAATACCACGACTGGATCGTCAACGTGCGGGCGCAGAAGCACGGTCTGAACCAATCCTTCCGGGTACTCGTCTTCCTCGGTCCCTTCAACGAGTCCGACCCTTCAACTTGGGACACCGAATTCAACTGCGTGGGGCGCGTGTCGGTGCTGGCGCGGTCGGCGACGGAGACGCAGTGCGCAAAGTGCCGCGTCGATGCGGCCGAGGAGCTCATGGTCTCGGGCACGGTGCCCCTGACCTCGGCGCTGCTGCAGGACATTACCGAGGGCGAGGTGGCGAGCCTCAAGCCCGACGACGTGGTGCCCCACCTGCGGGCCAAGCTCGCCTGGAAGGTGGCGCTGTTCGATGGCGAGGAGAGGGACGTCCTGTCGGTCCCCGGCCTCAAGGTCAGTGTGGCGTCTACCGAGGTGACCATCGGGGAGGAGGATGGTCTGCCGGTGTATTCCGGGGAGTATACCGTGTATCCTGAGATCACCGAGGGCAAGCCGGCTGGGTTGGCGGCTGGAGAGCACATCTGAGACTGCTCCGTTTTGGAAAGTGATGGCCGTTGGTTGGCACCAGGTCCAGCTCATTACCAGATGACTTTTGGAAGGGAGAATGGGTATCAGAATTTAGCTGGGAAAAATGAAGAATATAGTAGGCATAACCATGCTTTTGTCGCCGGACCCCAAAACGCCTCCCTATGCGATAGCCGAGAGAGAGAAGATCAGAATTGAACCCGCCGTTTTCGCCCGGTATACTTGGATGTCGGCTTGACGATCTTGCCTTTTCGTTCCATCTGCTCCTTCTTTTTGATGATCCAGGCCTTGCTGCCCTTTTTGATCTCGCCCTTGCCGCTCTTGGCCTTTTTCCGGTTGTCCAGAATGTCGACGTTGTCCATGCCCTCGACAACACCCGTGATGTCACCTCCTTTGTTGCTAACGGCCGAGCTGCCCACCGTGAGCACCAGGTAGACCTTGACGTTCTTGGTATCCGGGTCGTCCTCAAGAAGACCGGCACCGAAGCCGGCCTTGACAGCGGCCGACGTGATCATTTGCTTCTGGACGTCATTCTTGGGGTAGAATTGGCAGACGGCCATGCCGCCCCGTTTTAACGCCGCATACAACCCATTGAAGAAGCGCGTCAGCCGGCCTGCGGGGGACGTCTCGCTGTTTTCGGCGTTGCAGAGCCATTGGATTGCGCTGATGCTGATGGCGGCATCGAAGGTTCCGGGCCGGAAGGGGACACCCTGCCCGATATCGGCAAGCAGCAGGTCACCCTCGACATCTCGTTGTAGAGCCACGTCCAGCATCGAAGCGCTGATGTCCATCCCAACCCATACGTGTGGCCCGCCCTCGTCTTCGGGAACGTCCGAGAGGATCTCACCGGACAGGCCACTGCCGCAGCCAATGTCGAGGATGAAGCTCGGGGATTTTAGGTTCAGAAGCTCAAGAGCGCGTCGTGTCATGGAGGCCTGAATGTTTTGGATACGAGAGCTGGTGGTGTACTTGCGTGCTTCGGCATCGTTGTAGTGGACGTCGGCCGCGCTGGCTGTGTTAATAATGGCTGATTGCGGGGGAACTGGATCTGGGAATGAGAGACCTACAGGGTATCCTCAGGGCGGGACATCTTGGCGGCGTATACAGGATCCTGCTAAGAACGTAAAAGCGGTCGAGTGCTTTGGTATGTAGGAATCCGTCGAGGTCTGGGTTACAAGATCTAAAGAACGAGGCCGCAGTCTTGAAGACTCCCGGTCTTGGAAACACAGCGGAAAATTGGATGTGGTGGGGCTTGTTCAGGGATTCCTCAGGGCCCGCGGCAGCTGGAGTACCCTCACTAATAAGCCAATCGTTCGGAATTGTGCGACCTGGGATATCAGAAGGATATATCCTTGACTACGGCCTGTATTTGTGCCTTTTTGTTTTTTGAAGGAGATCGCAACTGGACCGTTTCCAACCCAAGCTGTGCTTGTTGCCCACGGGCGAAATTGTTGAAGCGCATTTGCGATTGTGGGCGATAAGTGGTTATCTTTTGGATCTCCTATCTTATCGATAAGATCGTCCAACCCGGATATCACCGAGATTGTCATTGACGGCCGCCAATTCAATACGTGTACAGTACATACGTGCACCGGACGTCATCTCAATTCCAGGGCAACTCCCTGACCTGCGCCTGCAACTTTGACTTGCACCTGCACCAGCCCCTGGAAATAGAGCTCCCTCCACCTCTTCGAACATTTCCAGTTTGATATTATGAACTCGGCCAAGTGAATGTGACCGATACGAAAGATGTGGATTCTACCGCTGCTTGGATATGTTGGCTCCATCGTGGGCTTTTGCTTCATGACGCTGGCCATAGGTGTGTACCCATCATAGCTTCTCCGCTGCCACCTCTGTGCTGTTTCCTCTTGAAGGGTACTGACCGGCGGCACCTATCGCAGCGTCGGGGCTTTACTACCTTTCTGAGCTCGTCGAGGAACATACCGTCATCGCGAAACGCTTCCTCACCAGGCTCATCTACTCCATCATGGCGTTGCAGCTCCTGCTCTGCGTCGTCGACAGGTTCCCTTTTCTCCCGACGGCACTGGGGATCTTCTCCCATTTTATCTACTTGGGAAATATGCGGCGGTTCCCCTTTGTCAAGCTCACGGATCCCTTATTTTTAACGTCATGCGGTAGGTACACCGGCACTCTGACCAAAGCAATAGCTGACAAGCAATCGCGTCCGCAGTCCTCGTCTTGATCAACCACTATGTCTGGTTCAGGCACTTCTCCCACCACCAGGAACGCGCCTACGAGAGCATGACCTCGTATTACGACACGCCCAGCGACATTCCCACCTTCACCGAGATCGCTTCTTACTTTGGCCTGTGCGTCTGGTTGGTCCCTTTCTCCCTGTTTGTCAGCCTATCAGCGAGCGACAACATCCTACCGACCATGGGCAACGAGCCGTCAACGCCCTCAATGGCTACTGGAGGTATTGACGGCGGGAACGCTCGAAGACGGGGTCAGGGGATGGCGAAGGCTCTGGTCGATAACATTCGGGGGGCAATTGCAGAAACAACTGCCTTATTTGGGGGGAAAAGACCGGATGATCGACTTTGAACAGGTACTGAACTTGGTGTAAAATTATGTTTCGGGTATGAAGGAGGCGTTCATGGAAAACGATATGTGACGTAGCGGTAATGACAGTTTAGTAAGTCTACCGCACTCGCCGTCTTACGATGCATTCCCGCCTTCTCGCTGATCCGATACAAGAAAGGCGGAGAGAGTAACCTAACCGACCATACAGCTCAAGGCGCAAAAAGCAAAGTATCTGAAGCCAAGAACGAACTCAAGCCCTCAACCTTCCTTACCACTATGCCCCCCTCCCCGACCACCATCGCCACCCACTACCCCCGGACGAACCTACACCAACCGGCCGCCCCCTCCGAGCCGCCTCCTCCCGCGCCTCGGCTAGCCGGTCATAGAACCCCGAGACCTCCCTCAGCCAATCCAGACTCAGCCCGGGCCGGCCGGTACCAACAACAGCAACATTGCTACCGCTGTCATCACGACTGCGTGACGAAGCACTGCCGCCCACAGGAACCCAGGCAGGCTCGTTATCCCTGGCATACCACCCGGCGGAAAGCGGCGCGCCTCGGCCAAGCGAGAGGGACGACGACGACCGCGGGGAATAGGACGAGTAGGAGGAGGAGTAGGCCGTGCCGGAGCCGGAGTAGGGGTAGGGGTAGTCGCCGCGCGTGGTGGTGGCGGAGGACGATAAAGAGGAGGACCGGGGCGAGTAGGAGTAGTAGCTGGGTTGGTGGTGGTCGTGGTGGTGGTGGTGGTCGTACGAGTAGGAGTCTGGGTTGTAGCGTGGCTCGCTTTGACTCGTGAGCCGCCTCCCCGTTCCCGGGGGGAAAGAGGAAGAGGAGCGCGGGCTGTGGCTCTGGCTGCGGCTGCGGCTGCGGTAGGGTGGTGGCGGGCTGATGCTGTCGTCCCGTCGTGCCCGGGATCGCGGAGGGGAGTAGCTCGGCAGCCGCACACTCCTGGGGTAGCGGGACTGCGCGGCTGTGAGGTCGCCCCATGACGGGAAGGGGCTGTGACTGCGGCTGCTGCGTGCTGGCGTGTGAGTGTCGAAGGGCAGCAGCGGGAGCCAAAGGTTGCCGTACTGCCCGGTGTCGCGGGGCGAGGCCATTCTTGTTTGTTTTCCTTTGCTGAGGAGAAGGATGTGTTGCTAGGTTATTGAGTCTCGGTTCTGTCAGTAGGCAACAACGCTCAGGTTCCAAGTGGATGTTCAAGAAGTTGGATTGGGGTCAAGGGTTTCCACTCTTTATATGTTTGGTCCGGCTTAGCCTTGTTGATTTTCCCTCCCTGCCTCCATCCGCGGGACGTGGGACGGCTGGTGTTTAGTATTTGTCTATCCCTGCCTATCAGTCCTCAATCTGGCCCCCTCCGCCCTAACTGACCGTTAGTTGACCCGCGCACTTCTCAGAATTCATGCTGTGGTCGACGGGGTGCGCCGGTCTGAGACCACCTAAAGGAAACTTGCAGAAACTCTGGTGATCCGGTGCTATGTTGCTCACTCTGCCAGCAAACTGGTCAACCCCGGCCGTCTCGCGCGATGCAGGCCTAGCACTGGAACTCAGCCTCCATGACCTCACGTGGTCTTGTCACTATTGTGGGATACACATGGGTTTGCTGCCTCAAGTACGACAGACGGCTCGCCGATTTTCTCCCTTTCTGGCCGTCGGTAAACGGTCAGCTACGACCAAGGTGTGCTTGCTTGCGGGTTTGTGCATACTAGCATGCCGCCTTGGTCTCAGGCCTCTCTTAGTGCAGGCTCCTCCACATCATCAAGCTCTCGATGGGTAGTCGCCGCGTCGCTGTCCGGGAAAGGGGGGAGGTAGCCCGCCATAAAGCGGTCTCCATTGTTCTGTCAAGTTGAAGATAGCCTTGATGAAGTTCGCCAGGGACTCATCATATAGGTTTTGTTTCTAGAGTCAGGACAACCGTTCGATTTTGCCTTGTGGACCGGCACAGATCTGGCCGTAGCCCTCCCAGTTAATGGTTGTCGTGGTTGTCAGTCTCGTGGCAAGGGGCGACCCAATACATTTCGCTTTTAAACCGATTAAGCCAGTTCGGGCTTCGGTCAGCAAGTCAACAAGCTACAGACGATGTCATTTGTTGTTCATGTATACGGTGGCACCGCAGCCAAGCCCTGCTTGAGGTATTTGCACGTGCAATCGTGATGGGTATTTAGGTTCCTTCCGCTGTCCTCATCGGAAGGGGACCTGGCCGGTGATAGATACATCATCGCGCTGGCGTCCTCATCGTGCTGGGCTCGGCAAGGCCGGCTATCCAATCGTTGCGCCTACTTCAGTGCTTCTTAGTGGCTTGCTGTGACTTGTGGAACGGTAAATGAGGTGGTTTGTGTGCCCCAGTAACCAGGAAACTGGGATGGAAACAGAGCAGCAGGGCGGGCGTTAGTGTGTCTCCCCGTTTAAGGCTGTCTCCTGATTCCAGCTCTGTGAACCTCCTGAATATCTGGACACATGATCCCTTCCTCTGAGCGATACCACGATGATCTCAATTTCCAAGTTGAGTCTCCTGACTTTGTGACCGGAGGGCTTAGGAGAGTCATGGAGAGTGACAGCAGAACCGAAGCTGGAATATGAGCTGGTCTTCTTTGCATGCTAGTCTCTATCGCCCCCATTTCGACTCGCTTCAGTTCCCTGAACGGTGAGCATGATCAGCCTGTAAGTGAGCCTCACCGTTGAACTGTGTCTTACAAGGCTGGTCTGCTTTCTGCAGGCCAATCTAAGGTACAGACAAGTGCAGTGACAGCTACTTATGCAGGGAACCGAGTTGCCACGGACTTCACACTAGCGCACTGCATGAAGTACTGAAGTACCGCAGGCATCAAGCAAGAATGGGATGCTTAAATCCAGATCGCGAACTGAAATTGGAAAACCTTGAAATTTTGAATAAGTATTCATGTGGTCCCGCCGTGAGGCCTCCCCGATTGTATTTGTAGCCCCTGACGGCCTAAACCCAACCCATCGAAACCCTAAGTGCCCGTCCACCAGGAAAACAAAGTGTTCTCAGAGGGATACTACAGCAGAGGCGTAACATTGTGAACAACGTGTTGAATTAATAGGGCTGCTTACCAGCCAGAACAGGGGTGGGCACGGTTTGCTGAGGTAAGCAGTGTGGCCGGGCAACGATTACCTAATCATGCCTGGATGGGATTCGGTCAACCCAATTGCTGTGGTCCCTGAGTCAGGTTTAAATCACAAAGGGAATGGAACCGAGGAAGGCATTGATACAGTACAACGTACCTGTGGTAAAACCAAATCATACCCGCCCAAACAAAACAAAACTTACAAGCTCGGCAATGAAGTAAAAAAGAGGGCTTGAGGAGTAACATAGGAAAAAATGTATTGGAATGCCCACAATCAGAGTCGAACTGATGACCTTGGCATTACTAGTGCCACGCTCTACCAACTGAGCCATGCGGGCTTCTCTGTTGATTGGTTTACATTTCTCAAACTATAGTCTATAAAGCCTAAATAAACGCAAACTGCAAGAGGAGAAAGAGACAACCACTGCTGAAGCTCTGGAAGTCGAACTTTGTTGTAGTACGGAGGAGTCCTGTTTCTTCATGCAGCTTTCCAAACCCATTCCCAGCAGAGTGGCCGAGGAGCTGCGTCGGTCATAAGGTGCACCGGCTTCTTAGTGCACTTACACGACGTCTATTTGCCATCTTCAAAGGCCACAGAACAATAGAATGCAACTACACAGCATCAGGGGCTAGTAACGACAACGGGAGGCAACCGGCAAGTGCAAATCTACCAGCTAACTTGCCATCTTGATGGAGTGGAAAACATACCCCATTCGGCCACCGAGTCTGGAGTAGTAGTATCTTCTGCCTAAGTTCACCATGACACCATTAGGGTCGAGACCAAAGGAAGAGGGTATATGAAATCAGCCGATAGTTGCAGAAAGTTTGGGCTTGCATCCCCCCGATGTTCATCAGTAAGCAGAAACTCGAGCAAGACCCCCGGCACACGGTTGCTAAACAGCTAAAGGTTCAACGCCAACGGTCAAGCGAACCTAGATTCCGCAAGCCCTTACCCCATGCCATTCCGCTTTATAAAGATATCATCATCATAACGAACCGCCCCTGAAAACCCTCACATTTCCGCCTACCGACCTCTGATTAGTCCCTACCCTCGTAAGGCCGGAAATCTCAGGGGAGCCACAGCGCCTCATACTATTCCCATGGCCAAGCACTCCACCACCATCAGGGCTACCGACAGTCCAGTTGCCTCTATACCTGACACCACTGGCCCTGTCCTCTCTCAACCTCCTCTTTGCTGCTGCTCGTCCTAGCCCAGGAACCCACCTCAATGCGAACTCCCACGACTCTTCCTTCAGGACCGACCAGGTAGTGGCAGCGAAGATGATACCATTCCACAAACCCTGCAGTGGGAGGACGACAGCACTGGCCAGATTCAGCGTGTAGCTGGTACGGGCGGGATAGAGGAGCGCGTAGACACGGTTAATGCTGCTCGGGGTCCAAGTGACCAGGATGGAGATGGCAAAGACGAACGAGGTGCGAAGGTAGGCCAGCTTGACGGGGTCCAGGTTAGAAAGTTTGGCGGTGAACTTGTGCCACCATGCTACCGATGAGTTACTGGGCACGAATCGGGACTTGGGTATACTGGTTTTACGACTGGCATTGTTTTCGCCGGTTGCTTGATGGGAGTTGGTCTCGTGCCCTCCAGCAGAAGTGATGCTGGTCGATAGTGCCGTATTGAATGGACTGGCTGTTGGAGCCGCTTTAGAGGTGGGCGATATTTGCTTCTCGACGTCGCCATACTCGTTGTGCGAGATCCATGGGTGAAGAGGAGGAACTGGTTTGATTTTCAATGGAACCGGTGGGATGAATGCACGTGGCGTTGACGGCGAGTTGGTTTCATTGTCGGACAGCTCAGCAGTAACATGAACGACGGTCGTCGCAGTGCCGTAACTGCCATGGTCCTGTGACTTTGGGATGGGGTCAGCACTGGAAAATAATGATTGCATGAAGACGGTGAAGTTGAAGTACGCGAATCAGAGGCTTGATAGATTTCCGAAGCAGAATGTTGGATATTCAGGGAAGAACGAACAATGGGATGTGGGCAAGGAATACCATCTCTGATGAACGTCTCAATGCAGTCGCAGAGGTATCGTTCCCTTCGTTGCTGAGTGTCAGGTTCCGTAACTGGTTTCGCTGGTGAAAGACGTGGCAGCCAACTGCCACATAGACAGCAGCAGATAAAACCGTGCACATCCATATAGGTAGATAGTAAGTGAATATCCGCAGTTGGTTGTGGCTATCCGCAATCCAACACCATAGCTACCATCATGTTAGCACATAGAATGACGGAGCCAGGGTGTAGGAGCCAGTCTCTCGGCCAACCCACTGTAGCATTTCCGTAGATAGGCCGCCCGCCTGGAGCGTAGAAGAGGCACACCAGTGCCGGAAGGGAAGGGAGCCCGAAGCATAGCAGGCAGTAGAGCCACATGTGCTTATATCTGGGCTGGTATGCCATAAAGAATACCATATAGACGTTAACGGCCATGGCAAATGACCACCAGGGGTCCGACTGCATGAACCTGGGCAAGCATTAGGAGCGAGATCCAGCAGGGTGATTCAATAGCAGAAGAAGAAAGAGGGACTCACATCTCGAGGAGAAATGCCTGGACCTGACAAAGGGCGGATGAATCCCCAGCTACGATACCGGCATATCCGATTAGGCATGCGACACTTGCCCCGACATTCGCAATGGAGGCGAAGAGAATGAATGTGTTGGGGATGGTCCGAACCCGGCTGAAAAGCCCATAGGCAATAAAGATAAGAATGACGCCAACCAGACTGATCGAGGCACCGAACCTCTCAACATGCTGGATGGTCATACGCTCTGTTACTGTAAGGTTCATGTAGCCGCTTTCCCCCGGGACGTTCTTGAGATTACCCATTGCAAAAGAGAAGAGGCTGAGAGCTAAGACACAGAACACATGAACCTGATATCGTTGGAGCAGCTGTTTGAACGTGGCGTCACTAAGACCGTTAGGGCCTGAATGTCGACGACTGGCGGCCTCTATAACCAGTCTACGGCGCCTCGCTCGATGTTTGTGTGAAGATATAATCCTTGTGGCTGCTTTGGTCTGCAGCCGGTGACCTTGAACAGGTGGTGTCGGTCTGATTGGCAATCCACCTGCAGCTTCCTTCATGTTAGATCATCAGTCAGACGCCAATGGGGCCCTTGTACTTGCCAGTTAAGCCTTGGTGGTCTCGCTAGTTGGCATCTTTCCCGCGTCTGCAGCACACAGAAGCCGATTAGCCAAGAGATGGGGCGTCACAGCCGAAACGGGGTGGCGTGCGCACCGGGTGATGAAGTCGATCTCTGGGGAGCACGTGAGTAGGGACTCGGGTGTCATTGAAAACTGGGCGAACTCAAGTCAACATCGTCATTGGTGGCCAAACCTGGAACACAACTTAGGACGCGTAACTGGGGTTTTGTAGGAGATATCTGCCGAGAGCAAATCTGGAACCTGACTGCTGCTGCGAACCTCGATGGGACTGGTGTTGATGTGTTGCAGTGATTATGTTCCCTTACTCCCTCTGGGGTAAGGACTACAACCACGCCGGACAGGTTCTCGGCTTTTCGGCCGTGTCATCAGAGGGATGTTACTCTCATGGCCGCAGCATGATTCTTGTCCATCTAAAGTCCGGTAGTGAATACAAAGCCAACTGCGGATCACTGGCTGGTGTGACCAATCGGGCCCCTAGAGAATCAGATTCACCTACCTAAGATTGTTTGTGTGACTCGATGTCGTTGCTCTAACTACTACCTACTAGCTGCCATGAGGAGTCGGTGGGACCATAGCATGCAATCCGACGCCATATCGACTTTGCTCTTGGAGAATGAAATTCGGATCTCAGGCAAAGAAAAGACTCAATATGAATTTGTGCTAGATTAATGCCAGCTCTGGGACGATCAAGCTTATCGAATCAGAATGGAAAAGTTGGGAAGATCAAAGACAAAGAAGCAAGGGAAACGTGCAACCTTGTGCCACGTTCTGCATGTGAACCGCTGTTTGAAACCTCATCGTGAATAGAAGGGTCAGTTGTCTCGGGTGTCTTGCAGGTGGAAGCAGCATGCCGTGGGGGAAGTTCGGGTATTGGAGCAAACATTGTCGCCTTCAGCCACGTCAATCTACGGACATGCGAGTTGAAGGCGGCAGTAACCACACACTTTACTGGGAAAAGAAGTTGCCATCGAGGGTCCTCCAGTCATACTTCAGCTGGCATTTTGTTGTATTCTCTATTTAGGAAGGCGTTGCCGGACTGATGCCCTTTGCTCCTCATAATGCACCTTCCCATTTTCTAGACGCGCTTACCCTCTGCTAGCCCCATAGCTCAAGTAGGCAGTTGCCTTTCCTGCGATGATTTTCCTGTCATTATTTGAAACCGACAGGAATGCCTCACAAGACTCACATAAGTAGGAGGGCAATTCGCAAGGAAATCGCAGGCATACCTCGTATGCTTGCCTGCAGTTCGCCGGAGACCCTGGGAAAGGCGGCAACCTTGAAGAAGTCATTCGAAACGCACCCCGTCTTTGATCGTTTCCCATTGGATAGCCGCCTATGGAGATACGGAGGCGGACGTCAAATCCCTTACCATTGGACTGTCTGCAGTACAGCGTGGCACGGCATCCCGGTTCGATCGATGCCTGAGTCTTTTTGTCGAGACTCTTAGTCTTAGACCTCCTCATAATTAGTCGGAAGGGATTCTTTAATGCGGCCTCCCGAAGACGGCTCCGAAGAAGCTCGGAAACCACGGCCAGACCGTGACTCGGACAAGCATTACCCCCGTATGGTCTACTTGGACCGGATGCCTGGGCCAGAAACTCGCGCATGCGACAAGCAGCTTCCACAGCTTTGATAATATGACTTCAATTTCATGTCTGCAGCCCTGTCCTTGCTAGCCCTGAGCCAGTGACAGCACTCGAATGGCAGAGATAGACCCAACTTGTGCAGTAACATCTGCCGGAGCATATGTGCCTCGTAAATTGCTCCCGGAACTAAGGTACTGTATTGTACCTCTTCTATCTTGCTCTCCCATGGTGTACAAATACCCACTACGTAACAATCTGGTGTTGCCTGTCGGCAAGCTTTCGACCGGATGTTCTTGACTCAACACGAGGCCAGAGACCGACGTAGTTTGTCTACAAGTCGAGATTGTAAAAGCAAGACGACATTCCGGATGGGCCCCGAACAAAGGGATTCATCTTGTGTGTCTTCCATTGCGAGGGGACATACCCTTGCTGGCATGTAATATCCAATGTATGTTACCGGCTGTATACGCCATCAATCATATAGTCCTTCTTCGGACCCTTGACAGTGTATGACAGTCTCCAATCCCTCAAATTGACAGCCTCAAAGTGGAAGCGGTACCTCACATCGTAGAAGTCGTCGATGCACAAGTGTCCTGCTGTAGCTTCCCACCCCTTCCCGCCAATTTCAGCCTCCCCATCTTGCATTGGCACGACGAAATCGACATTGTGAAACAGGTAGTCAGCCTTCTTCGGGTCGTCTGTCTTGACGAACCAGACGCTCAATTTGTCCGACTTCTCATTGTACCGCCACACGTAGCGTCGAGTGGCGCGGAAGGTGAGTCCGTTTGCGGCCTTAAAGTCTCCTTCCTCTACGTAGAGGTACTCTAGGCCGTCGCTGCCGTCCTCGCCGGGGGCATCAAACTCGGCCTCACGCCCATCCTTTGTCCCTGCTCTTAGTAGGAACTTCGCGGTGCCACTGAAGTGCCCGCTGGGATGACTGGGAAGCTTGCTCATGAGTTCCCTCTCAAGCTTCCACTCGCCGAGCAGGGAACGAAAGACGGCCTTGGCAACGAATTTAGCAGAACACAGACCCGCCCAGACAGTGGCCTCAGTCTGCTGAAGGGACTTGGTGACCTCAGCTCGCTGGAATTCGGTTAGTGATCGAGAAGGATACCGAGCCGGCGTCAAGATGCTCATTTCCATGCCCGCTGGTGGCAGACTCGGCATCTTACCCAAATGCGCTGAGAGCTGAAGATCAAGGGCACTGGCAAATTCCTGCATAAGCCAGGGGTAATCGCCCATAGGAAACTGGGATGCCCGGGGGTCGGTCCGAAGATTAAGTGTCTGCTCAATAGAAATATCGGTTTCCAGAGCATTTTTGAGAGAGGGAGGGAGACTCGATGAAGACGGGCCGCCAGCGGTCCACAGCGCCGTGAGAAAGCGAGCCTGCATCTCCATCACCCCCCAGTACGGGGATCGATAAAACCCAACGAAGCCCAGATTCGGAATGGAGGGGTGGTGGGTGCCATGAAATGCCAGCGCAACCGTGTTGTAGAGATCAGACGGGCATAGGGAAAGGGTCTCATGGACTGAGGCTGGAAGAAAGGAGATTGAAGAAAACGCTTTAAAGCCGGTTGCAAGAACCACAGCAGCAACATCGTCGATTTTTGTCCCTGAGGGCGACAATGTCGCTTGATGGCCGGCAAGCGTGTCAAGCTTGCCACGGGATACGGATATCAGACCTGAGCGGACGAAGTCCATGTAGTTGTCACTAACAGCGAGATATGGTGGGTCGGCAGTCTCGGCAGTTGAGACCGACACAGCTTGGGAGAAGACTGACTGGTCGGTTCCAAGTGCTGTTTGGTACATGGAGTGAACAATCTTGGCTGTTTCCACGGTGATGTGTCCCTGCGAATTAGTCAAAGGCTGGGGCCTCTTGGACAGGTCATAAGACCCCAGGTCTAGTGGGAGGAATGGAGGTGCGGACGATGTAGGCTGCGACGAGCAATAGTATTAGTGGAATGACGGATGGAAAAGACGGGGCTGTTGCAACCAATACCTTGGGAGAAATGTGAAGGGGGAAAACCCAGGCAGGCTTCTGAATGAGATGGTGTACGGAGTAGTTTTCTGGACTGGGTATTGGGCTCGAACCGGGCGAGTGCATGGCGGACGAGATGTGCGAAGCAATTGTGGCTGCGATCTCAACCCCTGACATCTGGCCACCAACTACCAAGACCTTACCCGCTTTTCCATCGGTTTTGCCGAGGATCCCTTGGAGATTCCGATACTGACTACTGTGAATGACTGGGATATCGGCGTGCTCCAGGTCGATTTGCGGAATTGAGGGTGCGCCAAAGAAGCCAGAAGCTACAATGAGATAGTCGAACGTCTCTTCTGCCACTTCCCCCGCGGTGGAGCGGGTTCGAACGCGCCAGCCTGCATCTGCGTGGCTCTCTGAGGAGGAGACCAACGGCTCAGCCTTCTCAACGCGATTTCCGAGCATAAGCTTGGCCTCGCGGCAATATGTTTGGAAATAGCGATCGAGATACTGGCCAATCTGCCAGGCCCGTGGCAGGTCGGGGGCATCGTCTGGCCAGGCGAGGTCGCTAAACTGGACTGTGTGCTTGCTCTGGTTGGCTACCATTAGGGGGTGGACGAGACCAGCAGCGTCATCCTTCCGAGAGGGCCAGAGGCCACCGATGCGGGTTTTCCCATCGAACACAGTCACATCGAAGGCACCTGCAGGACCATCGTGGAGCAAGGCCTTAGCAGCCACGAGTCCGGAAGGACCGGCACCTAGTTCTGTCAATGACCGTGGATCAGAAATTGAAGACAATAAAACTCACCCACGATGCAGACCTTCTTGCGCATGACGGTAGACATAGATGCCCGGCTAGGAGATGTCCTTAGAGTCCTCTTCAGAGACGAAAGGCCGGACCGGGCCGTCGACTCCAAGAAAAGGTGGGTCCGCAACAGGATTCGGAATTCGGGATAGACAGCAGATTCAGGTTAGTAACAAGTCCGATGAAAACCTCAGTCGTCAATTCGACTCTGTCAAGAAAATGTTCATATATGGTTGGGAGAGAAGGCGGCTCTAGTGAGTGAAGGGGTGAAAATGAGTCCAGGGCCTCGAGGGGTGAGGGGAGCATCCCGAGAAAACGGAACAGAAGCTCAGATGATGGGTCAGTGGGCACGCTAGCGTACCTTATGTGACGCGATCAAATCCCGATTGGGCATTCAGCTCACAGCCAGCACGCCCGGCGAATGAGTGGGTCCCAGCCCAGTCTTTCCCATAAAAACCCCACCTTCCCGCCATAAAGCTCAAAGGGACAAAGACGGGATTCCCCGACAGCCTTGCAATTTGCGAAATGTCGTGGACGACTTCACGGCAAGGCTTCTCGCATGCATTAGCCATCACAGATTTCGGCCCCTTGGACTGATTTCTTGGTGAGTCTCAGATGCCCACTTGGATTACAGTACCATGCACAGCAACTGTCCCTAGGCGTCCGCCTCAGAAACGCGTCGCTGATACAGTGTACTGTATGTATTGTATTTGCAACAGTCACTGCAGAAGCGGGCGTCCATACGTCAATACTGCAGTGGCACAGGGAAATTTCTCCTGCCCTGGTCGCTACCGAATACGGGTGCTGTCCTGGTGCCTGACCCGCACAACTCAACGCACCTCAGCATTCCCATCGCCGCCCAACCCCCTCATCGCCAAGGCCGACGGGTCGATGAGGACCGATTAGCTTCTCTGGGCGGTCTGGGCAATGAGCCTCCACAGCTTGGCGGGAGCATCTCTCCACGTCCTGCCGTGCAATAAGGTATATTGAACCCTTCCATTGACCAGGTTCCAGGTTGCTTCCAATGGTGAGCCAAGTTGTTAAAATCTACAGGCAGGCAGCATCAATATCTTCGGCCCGTTCGGAAGAACAGGGTCCATCGCATATGACGCCGTACACGTGTACTCCCGTGTCAAGCCTCGCTGTCCCGGCCAATACTTCGGGACCCTGCACCGCTCAGATTGGCCGCGTTGCACCCGGTAGTCATTGCACGAGGCAAGGTCATCGTGAATGTCTACGTGCTGAATTCAGAATCCCATTGGGGAAGATCCTTTACACGGCACCCTGCATGGCAATGCCCCTCTCCGCCAACCCGGTTACCATGACAGCAAAACACATTGGGTGTAGTACAGAAACCCCTGGCAGTGGCCGGATTGCTTAGATTTGGCACAGTACCTATTTAGGCAATCAATATGGATGGACGCGACTGGAAGACAGCCTCCGCCTAGGGGTCGAGTACACATTCACCAGGGGCCCAGGACTCGACCACGCTTGAAGATTGAAGTGCTCCAAGCTTGCTCCAAGCTTGCTACGAACGGTTCTTTTTACGAACAGAGCAGCGGTTGCCCGATATTTGTGATGGAGATCGCGCTGACCGCACTGCATATGGATTTCCCGCGCTGTCACAAAGTTCAAAAGTACGGCTCTGAATGAGCGGGTTGCCGTGTCTGGCAGCGTGCGACTCCCGACGATGGAAGTTTGCCATTTCAAATCCCAGTACTATAGAGGAGAAGCATGCCAGAACTCCGATTTGGTCTTCCCCTCCTAGGTGGACCAATGGGAGTTCTAAAGCTCGGATTCGAATTCCAATGTGCTTTGGATCGTGTGCGTGAGAAACCAGGAGCAAGCAGCTTATCACACAGGGCAACGAGAACTTATCTCTCTCCCGTGGAGCTTCCTATTCCAATCTCCGAACGTTCTAGGTAGTGAAGCTCCTCGGGAGCCTTGCAGCGAGGTGCATGCCGACTGGATTCACGGGTAAAGCGCGATCCCGAAGCTTACCAACCCTATTCCCAGGGATCGGATTTACACAGATGTAGTGCACTCCTGGCAATCCCAAATATTTCTAGCTGTTGGTTCGGACTGATGAGTTCAGCATGCAGGTGTAGCCCATCGACCGAGTTCTCGGTGCCGGAAGCTGCGTCTTGTTACACTCAGAGCAGGGGAGATGCATCAAATGCTCCCTTGATCCAGGAGCGAGCCTACAACACCGGCACTCCATCGCCAAGTTATTTAGTACACGATTGCTCAGACATTCTGATAGCCATCATCACTCGGACGCTTCGGATATAAGTGCTGCGCACCAGCATGCCATGATTTGGTGGCTCAATGTGCGAGATCCCTGCTGTGGCTGACTCGAAGGAAGGGTAGAGGGGGTGTCACGGTGTCATTCGCCCGCGCGCAACGGGGCTGCATCCGCTGGATCATGGCCCTTATAACCTGCCCCAGGTGGACTAGTCTTCTCCGCATTTCACCACCCCTGTCCTTCCTTTCCATGGCCACCAACTCTGACGTTGCCCAATTACGTGTGCGACTGTTGCATGGAAAGCAGGCCAAAGCTGATGATTTTACCGTCGGTCTTGATCTGTTCGGTTCTTTTAGAACAAGGCCTTTATCTCCCTCCCCCCGCTGATGTGCTTCTCCGCACCAAGCAGATCGAAGGTTCGAAACATCTCGCCGACGGCTCCGCCGGGTGGCCAAGTCTGGTAGGAACTGCCCGGCGAACGTTGCGTGCACCTGGCTGGTATGAAAGGAATGGTGATCAACATGATCCTGATCCTTTGGCAGTTGCTTTTGCTTAGAACCTTACAAAGTACCTAGTAGCTTACATTTTGCATACGAAGCCAGCTACAAGACTGCTTGCCCATTTTTGAGTTCAACGACCGTCTCAGATTGTGTCGTGCCTTCTCATTTCTGGTCTCTCCTTCTTTCCGCTTCTCAACTGGGGTAGCAAACGTTCTGCTGCTGCTTTTTGGAGCGTTGCACTCGGTCGGTCGGTCCCCCGCTTCGGCATATATACCCACTTATGCCGACCATCTGGAATCATTCATAAGCAAGCAAGCTTGCTGCGACGGAGGGCGCAAGATTTCCTTCAAGTTGGGCAAACAGTAAACATGAGCAACTCAGGAGACCTGGAGAAGGGCTCAAGCGATGTCAATCGCAGCCAGGACGAGGACGTCCCGTCCATTCAGAGAATCCCGGAGGACCCGGATGCCCATCTCTCGCCAGCCGAGAAAGAGGAAGTCGTAGGTTTCTCTAGCCATTCCCGGCACTGCTTCCTGTCGCTCTCGAGAGCGCCTAGACACTGACAGTTCATGACGTTGTACAGGACAGGAAGCTCATTTGGAGGTTGGATTGGATTCTGATGCCATGGGTTAGTGAGACGACTGCTCTAGATCGCAAAAGCCACGAAAAATGAGCTTACAAGAAGACTCCTTGACTGACATTGCATGACGGCAGCTCTGCTTCTTATACCTCCTGGCTTTTCTCGACCGGACCAACATCGGCAATGCGAGGATTGCCGGCCTCGGAGACGACCTTGACCTCACGACGCATTCTTACAACGCGACTCTAACCATCTTTTTCGTGTCGTACGCCGTTTTTGAACCCCTCACCAACATCATGCTCAAGCGGCTCCGCCCGTCCATCTTCATCCCCATCATCATGTAAGTACCCGGCGGGGGACAGCGGCACCGCAATAACTCAAAAGGAAATACGCGTTGGCTCACACAGTTTAAAATGTTGCACAGCATCTTATGGGGCGCCAGCATGACGGGTATGGGCTTCGTCTACAACTGGTCCGGCCTGATGGCGGCCCGGTGGTTCCTGGGCCTGACCGAGGCCGGCCTCTTCCCGGGGGTGAACTACTACCTATCCTGCTGGTACAAGCGCTCGGAATTCGGCGTGCGCGCCGCCATCTTCTTCTCGGCGGCTGCCCTGTCCGGATCCTTTGGCGGGCTGCTCGCGGCGGCGATTGAAAATATGGACGGCATCGGCGGGCGGCCCGGTTGGGCGTGGATCTTTATCCTGGAGGGCTTGCTGACCATCGTGGCCGGGTTCGCGTCCTTCTGGATGGTGCACGACTTCCCGGACGAGGCCAAGTTCCTGTCGGACACGGACCGCGCGCGCGTGGTGCGCCGCCTCAAGCTCGACAAGCAGGCCTCGGCCGACCACGAGGTCTTCCGCATGAAGTGGTTCTGGGCTGCCGTTAAGGACTGGAAAATGTGGCTTGGCATGGTCATCTACATGGGCTGCGACATGCCGTTGTACGCCTTCTCGCTGTTCCTCCCGACCATCATCACCAACCTCGGCTGGAACACCAGCGTCGTGCGTGCCCAGCTCATGTCGGTGCCGCCGTATGCCGCTGCGGCCGTGCTGACGGTTGCTGTGGGTTTCATCGCCGACCGGACGCGGGCGCGCGGCCTCTGTAACATCATCGTGTCTCTCCTTGGCGTGGTTGGGTTTGCCATGCTTCTTGGGACGGACGCTCCTGCGGTGCAGTATGCCGGCACGTTCCTTGCCGCGCTGGGAATCTATCCGTGCATTTCAAACACCATTAGCTGGATGGCGAACAATGTGGAAGGGGTGTACAAGAGGGGAGTTGTGCTCGGCTTCGTCATCGGCTGGGGCAACCTCAACGGCGTCGTCAGCAGCAACATCTACTTCAGCCCGCCCCGATTTTACGAGGGACACGGCGTCGTCATGGGCTATCTGGCCGTGTTTCTATTTGGTGGTTCGGTCCTGATGTCGCTGCTATTGCGGCGCGAGAACGCCAAGCGCCAAAGGGGCGAGCGCGATGTCTGGATTCAGGGCAAGACGCCCAAGGAGATCGAGGAGCTCTGTGATCAAAAACCGGATTTCATCTATACCACCTGAGATATGGACTTGGCATCGAGTGTAGGGCTGTGACTCCTACGGTACTTATCACTGAGCAAGGTGCCTGATATCATGTATGATATTACTCTACAGTCTTGTATCTGCATTCAGGGGCGGCGATTTGCTAGGCGATTGTCGGGCATATCCGTTATCAACAACGCGCCGTGAGAGAAATTCATTCCATAAACTAAGCTAGTATCTCCATCTAGGAAATAGGTGGACCAGACTCATAGACTGCGAGACAGGGAGGTCTAGATCAAATACATGGCTCTCATTTGTCAGAATTCAGGAGAAGAGACCACGATACCTCATCATTGCATGCAGTTGGGGAGTAGGGATCTCTAATTGTACCTGGCTCTATGTACATACACTAGGTAGGTAGCACTAACCGTCTCCCAAGGCCTTTCTTTAAGTTGCTCTCCAAGGTTGAATACACTGATCTTCCATGAGTCAATCTTCGAAACTTGGAATCTACCTGATGTATGTACATACATTGTCCGAGTCACCATTTGCAGTGACATGACATTCCTGAGACGCCTTTGTCCTGGCAACATAATCATGATGTGCTAATCCATGTACCTAGGTATGCTGTTTCTTCCTTGCTCTCTGCCGGCCCTTTACGCTTTATGCAAGCTTGTCGCAGCGTCAGACACTTCGTGCAATCAATCGAACCGACGTGGATGCGGACACAAACCTCGATGGCAGACTTTGGTACAATTCAAGTTGTGCTCTGCAAGCCATGTGTAGACTGCATTGTGCAAATGTCTCAGGGGCTGAGGTGCCAAGTCTCATCACCCTACTCCTAAGACCTAACGTAGGGAGTTACATACGAGACCTGCAGTTTTGTTAAGAGGGGTAGTCGAGAGGATCGTTTTTGCATACAAAATTTTGGCTACACTAACAGATGGTGCGCCTGGTCGAAGTACCGTCATTCAACCAACAACCGGGGAAGGTACTACCTACCTGTTGGGGAGATGGGTCTCGGACATTACGGTCTGTTTCGTGACATGTGGGTTCGGTGGACATCATCATGTTGAGACTGCTGTTTCCCTTGGCTGATCGAATTTACATGTTAAGAGCTGGACAGCACCGATGGATGTCAGCGATCCCCCGTCTCCCAGCTAGGTATTGTGCATCTGCTTAAATCTTGTTCGTACACAAATCTCTGTCTAGATAGTTCTGTTATACTCCAGTGCGTTACTGCTCCTCTCTACACCTGATACGCCTGGCGTTGGATTCCATGGTTGAACGGTGTGTGGTCTAATCTTCGGTCGATATCTCAGCCCGTTTAGGCTACACATTAGCACTCCCCGGATCTGGTAATCCGAAAACACAGATCTTGGTTTGGTTTGTTGGTGTTGTGAAAGTAAGATGACGTCTGCAGGCTCCTTGCAGGTCCCGCTTCCACAGCCTTGGTTGCTCGGACTGGGGGCCTCCCGTGTACGGTACCCATCACACTGATTACAGCACTTACACATATCCTATCCGCGAACGATATACCGCCTTGGGCCACAGGCTTGGGGCATGGCTCAGGTAGCATATTTGTGTCTTGTGATATTTCGTTGAGGGTCGAGGGATTGTAGCAGGGACGTTTGTTGATGCGCGACGACACTTAGTATTAGGTACATACTTAGCTTGGAGACTGGATCATCATTCAAGTTTTGTGGTTTGGGTGTCACTAGGAGCGGGGTGCCCTACACCCTCGGCCGCGGCGCTGCAGTTTGCACAACTCATGTGTCTCATATATATAGACCGTTGCGTGTTAGGAGGATTGGTTGACAGAAGTTGCTTTCCCTCAATCGAAGTAGGTGTGGATCGCGATGATGAGCTTGTCGTACACAGGACAGATGCTGAGCAGGAGGCGACGGCAAGCATAGCAACTTGAAGCCAATCCCCCGGGACCATGTCTTATTTTGATTTTCCGACTTGAGGCCTCATGTATGGGAAGAGGCTATGCCAGGGGATATGCCATGGTTGACAAGGCCGTGCTGCAGTGAGCTGCACAGCTGCAGTTGTAAACGCTGTGATAGGCACAAGCTATTGGCTCAGACGGATCGACAGTATTTGAGTGCGTTATAGGCAGCCTGAGTGATCCCGCGCAGTTGCCCTAGACGCTTGGTTTGCGCCCGGTTTTAGGCTGTGTCACTACGAGTGCGGATTCTTCGAACCTGTAGGGAGAGGTTCCATAATCACAAACGCCGATGTTTCTTCAACGTGTGGTTCTCGATATGCCACGACAGTGACAGCATATGGCAGGGGGACCGCGGCAAGTTCCGAGGTCCGATGTCCGGGGGGGAAGGGTGGGGGGGGGGGGGGGGCGCTTGGGGAGTCAGGGACCAAGTTAGGGTAAAGGATCGTCGATGTCTCGGTGACGACAGCGAGATGCTGACCGGTCAG